GTCGCAATCCGTCGCAATTTTTATTTTCCGTCGCAAATCATCTATTTCTTTGTTGTGACAGAATTATCCGTCGCAAACCGTAGCAAATTGCGACGGATTTTGCGACTGTTTGCGACGAATAATTTTTTTTCACATTCTGTCGTAAAATCGTCACATTCCGTCGCAATTTTCTGTGCGACGGAAATTTCCGTCGCAAATTCCGTCGCTATATGCAGGTTTTTTTGTAGTGTAAGAGACAGACCAACGACGTCAAACTTCTTTTCTCTCACTTAGATTCTCATATTGTATGGGTATGTATATGTATAGCGTGCATATATATATCTATCTATATGTATATAGTGTTTGGATATTAAGTTAAGAATCATAAAGACACGTCATGATTCTCAAGTACAATGATATATCTAGTCGGGGAATACAAAATCAGATCCCTACTGTGAGATATTGAAGTGATTAAAACAGCGTTGCCGGATAGTGAAAATAAATGTAATGTCGAGAAAGTTGATACAAGTTCAGGAACAGTGTGATTAAAAACACACTTGTTTTTTTTTCGAATACTAAGCCCATAACTTATCTTGATGGGCTTTACAAAAAAGCCCAAAAATGTGTAACTCGGCCCATTAGCCAATTACAGAAAGCTAAGCCTGACTCCGTCTATTTAACTCAAATGCTAATCGAATAACCGAATTCGATATAGTTCGTTACAAAAGCAACTGAATAAGCAGTGATAGTTTTTTTTTTCCTTTTTTGGTAAAAAGGTGTAGTTTTTTTTACAAATAAAAAAAAAACATAATTTAAATCCGAAATATCACTCTCCATTTAATCTTGATTTTTATTTGAACCATGCAATCGAATATGGATTTTATTGATTCGGTCGAACTAGTTCACAACTTGCTTTACCCCTGGGTTCATGATACCAATTTATTTTTTATTTTAAAAATTCAAAGAATATAAAATCATATATATTAATTTAATTTTTTAAAAATGATTAGTTAAAAACCCAATTATCACAGTATTGGAGCTTGTATTTTGATTATGGGAAGAAGGAGATGTATGAATACGGACATAAGCTATCTTGGACAGGACAGAGAGTTATGTATACGGTAAATGAAAGAAACAACTGTTCAATCTATTATTCTCCCATCCCACAAAACAAAAATAGAAAATAAAAATATTGGCCGACTCTCCATATCACATCAACCCTTTCTCTCGTTTCCCTCCCACCCATCACCGGTATCCATCACCTCTCTCTCTCTCTCTCCCTCTCTCTCTCACCGGTATCCAACAACCCCCCTCTCTCTCTCTGACATCTCCAGATACAAAGAACATCGCCATACACAAATCAAAGTCCTCTGTCCTGTTCTTCGATTTGTCTGAGGTACATGAGTCAAAGCACAGATGCGTGTTTGACGATCAGTCTCTCTTTCCTCCTCGAAATGAAAAAATAACATTCGCAAGCCCTCAAGAACCAAAAAAGGGGAGGACCCAGATATTCTGTTCTATTCATCTTTGAGAAGTCCTGGTGTGATTGATCGATCGGTGATGGAGGAGGAGACGACCTGGACAAGGTTGGCCGTGGAGGAACGGAAGTCGAAGTACAGAGGAAAAGTGCACGGGCCGTTCGGGATGGAAGACATCGTGTGCCAGAGAAAGAACATGTTAACCTCGAAAGGGGTGTTCTTAGGCAGCGACCCCCTCAAGTACACGATGCCTATTCTCATGATGCAAATGGCCGTCATCGTCCTCACCTCCAGGCTCGTTTTCCGCCTCCTCAGGCCGTTGAAGCAGGGCATGATCTCCGCCCAGGTCTTGGTAATGTTCCCCGACCCCCTTCTCTCTCTCTCTCTCTCTCTCTCTCTCTCTCTCTCTCTCTCTGAAAGAAAATTAAGGTGGGGTTCTATATATAGTTCTTTGTAGGGATGGAAAGAACCCTAATTTCAGGTACAACCAACATGATTGGATTTGGTTACGAAAATTGGGTTCAAATTCGGGCATTGGCATTACATGGGGTAGCTCAATGGACTGCAAAATTACATTTTGCATCGAATCTCTAATACACAATGACGGTGACATTGATTAGACAAGAGAGCAACCTAGTGTTAAAACTTTACAACAGATCCGTGTTACGCTTCTATCTGATAATCACAATGTGTGTGAATGCACCATTGCAGGCCGGTATTATCCTAGGCCAGTCTGGTTTGGCCCAAAACGCGAAGTACGCGGAGATATTCCTCCCGGTGGGAAGCAAAAGCACGCTGCAAACGCTCTCGAACTTTGGTTTGATCATCCACATCTTCCTTCTCGGCGTCAAAATCGACCCAAGCATCCTCAGAAAGGCCGGCTCTAAAGCCTTCTTGATCGGCACCGCCTCCTACGTCTTCCCCGTGACGATAGGATACCTCACCGTTATCTCCATGAACAAGACTTACAATCTCTCCGAAGACTTAATGCATTGTCTCATCACAGTCATCCATCTTAGCTCCATGACAACTTTTCCGGTCATGACGACAGTCTTAGCCGAGTTGAACATTCTGAACTCCGAGCTTGGTCGGCTTGCTACTAACTGTTCCATTGTCTGCGAGGCCTGCAACTGGTTGGCCTCGCTCGTGTCTGACCTTTACAGACGTCAACTAACGACGAGCGTAGTGACGGTCATGTGGATAGTGGCTCTGCTCTTCGTAATCGTTTTCGTATGCAGACCCATCGTCATGTGGCTAACAGAGAGAGAGACCAAGAGCACAGGTAACAACCGCGAGATCCCCTTCTTCCCAATTCTCGTGATCATGTTTCTGGTCAGTATAGGAGCCGAAACGCTGGGCGTTCATGCCGCGTTCGGTGCGTTTTGGCTCGGCGTCTCGCTTCCAGATGGGCCGCCGCTGGGGACTGCATTAGTGACGAAGCTGGACGTGTTTGCGACCAGTCTTCTGGTTCCTTGTTTCGTGTCGATAGGTGGGTTCGAGACAAACTTCTTCATGGAGGGAGATGGTAACGCGAACCTGATCAAGGTTGTGATCCTTATGACGAATGGTTGCAAGTTTTTCGGGACAGCGGTCGCGTCCGTCTACTGCAAGACGCAGATTCGAGACGGGCTTTGCTTGGCGTTCTTGATGAGTTGCAAAGGAATCATCGAGATTTACGCCTTGATCACGGTGAAGGACGCCGAGGTAAATCAGAATCCATACCTTTTATATGCATAGTTTTCAGCGTCTTCCATGCAAAGAACTCGACTTTAACTTGTTAGGGTTTCCCTTTTTGTTTTTGCAGTTGATAAGCACATACTGCTTCAATCTGTTGATTATCACGATCCTTCTCGTGACGGGCGTATCGCGTTTTCTGGTCGTGTACCTCTACGATCCTTCCAAACGCTACAAAAGTGCGAGCAAAAGAACCATTCTTGGCACCAGACAACAAAACCTTCAGCTTCGTCTTCTTCTCTGTATCTACGATGTCGACAACATTCCTTCGCTGGTGAATCTTCTGGAAGCTTCGTACCCAACAAGGTTCAGCCCCATCTCCGTCTGCACTCTACGCCTCATCGAGCTCAAAGGCCGAGCCCATTCAGTCCTCGTGCCACACCATAAGATGAACAAATTCGATCCCAACACTGCCAAGTCCACTCACATCGCCAACGCATTCCGGCGTTTCGAGCAGCAGAACCAGGGGACGGTCATGGCTCAGCATTTCACGGCCGTGGCTCCATTCTCGAGCATCAATGACGATGTCTGCACTCTCGCACTCGACAAGAAAGCCACCCTCGTCGTGATACCTTTCCACAAGCAGTACGCCATCGACGGGACAATCGGTTACGCAAACCCCGCGGTTCGGAACATCAACCTTAACGTGCTCAACACTGCACCATGTTCTGTCGGACTGTTCATCGACCGGAGCAGGACCACCGGCTGTCGATCCGTGCTAATGGGCCAGACGTGGCAGAACGTGGCCGTCCTCTTCATCGGTGGCCGAGACGACACCGAGGCGCTCGCCTTCTGCATGAGAATGGTAGAGCGACCCGACTTTAACGTCACGATGATCCATTTCAAGCACAAGAGCACTCTACACGACAGTGGAAACAACATCGAGATGGGAGAGATTCAGCTGGTGCAAGAATTCAGGAGATTCGCCATGAACAAAGGCAAAGTGAAATACAGAGAAGAGATGGTGAGAGATGGCGTGGAGACCACGCAAGTGATTAGGTCACTGGGGAACAGCTACGACATGGTGATGGTGGGTCGAGACCACGGCCAAGACCTCGAGGCCTCTGTCTTGTACGGCCTGACGGATTGGAGTGAGTGTCCGGAGCTGGGGGTGATCGGAGACGTGTTGGCTTCGCCGGATTTTAACTTCTCGGTGCTCGTTATTCATCAGCAGCCTGGGGAGGAGTCTCTGGCTTACGACGACGCTTATTCATCTCTGCCAGTTACTTTTACCAACGGTCGACCTGGGAAAGGACTAGCAAATGACTATGTCGAGGCATATTGATTTCATGAACCATATTCCTATTATTAGGCATATATTTTTTTTTATATAAAATATATTTTTATTGCACATATTTAAAACAGACCTAATTCTAAGCCTCGTCAAAAGCCCATTATCGGCCCAATATAACCCAACTAAACTAAAGTGGTGTGGCTTTTCACCAATTACCATTTTGTTCGTATATTACTCGGCATATTGTAATTACCAAGGCCCTGCAACTGCAATGGTGTCTCCAAGTTGGAGAAATTTCTCTAAAGAAATATGTAATTAGTTATGAGCGATCATTTTTTGTTTATATATATAAAAAAACAAACTAAATAGTACATAAATATTCGAATTAAATTCGATATAAAATCTACAGAGTGTGATTTTTAAAATTAACTTATCGAATAGAATTTAATCTCATATGAAATAAAAACAAAAAATAAAGTATTTTGTTTTAAAAAAAATAGAATCCAAATGGAATATAAAATATTATAAAATAAGTAACTGAAATTATAATTTTAAAAATTTTAAAAATGAATCTAAAAATATTGCCCCCAAAAAACGTTACTGAAACTCTAAAATATCTCTGACCTAAGTCTTAATTGAAGTTCTATATCTTTTATTTCTCCAGCATATATAATATTCCATCAAAGTTAAATGATATATAAAATTGTGAAATATATATTCCTAGATTAGTTTGTTACTGTATTTTTTTGGGTACTTAAAAGATGATTTACTCGGGATTATAAATATAATATTTTGTCATATGGATTTGGGAGATGTTTGTAAAACCCAGGCACACGTACCACGAACTTCCACTGCAAATTCACAAACCCTATTGGCCTTCCTTTGTCTACGACCGTTATAGGGATCTGTGATTGACTTGCTTTATTAACATTTAATATTATATATTCGTAACGAGCAAGTTCTTGTATTGTTAAGAAAACGATGGTTAATTCATTGAATACTCATTGTCTATCTATGCCTATTCACATTAAATAATATAAAACTTGAATTAATATGATTTTTTTTTTAAAAAACGAGATATAATTATGAATGAATGAAAAGAAAATGAAAAAAAAAATTAATGGTAGAAATTTCTAGCCGTGTATTAAATTATATATACATAGAAATTCTAAAACATGAAACAAAGGGAGAATAAAATGGGAGAAACAAAATAAAGATGATATTAGAGAGATGGGACAGAGAAGAAGGAATCCATCAATCATCCATGTGATGTGAAGGCGTCTGAATCAGATGGTACGCCAGCTTTCATTTTCCTTTATTTTTATTTTAATTATTTTCATTTTATTCCCTTTCAGATTCCTTTAACTTGGAGATGTCGCCATCTCCCACCTTTTCGTTCAACCAAGAAATTACCTTATTTTTATTATTTTAAAATTGATGATATATATATATATATCAATTACAACCACCAATATGATAGATATTTAAATGGACCAACTATATAATATATCCTCAATATATATATACTTCACACATGAGCTTTGTTTTTTTTGTTTTTATAATTAGAATGATTATCCGTGCATTCGATTCGACTATATCTACCCTAAATTCGAGATCAGTCTTTGTATATAGATCATTTTGGTCTAGAAATTATATCTCTTTCCACCAATGGAATCGAACCCAGGAATTTGAGGATGATTTTGTCACCTCTCTATCACTGGACCACCAACCGTTGAGTTGAGCTTGTTTTGTATGTGTGGAAATCCGATGTTATTAGCCGCTTCACATGCACTTTAATTTATATTCCTAATATTTTTGTAACATTGGTTAAGTATGTTATATATATATATTCATAAAAAGACCATCGTCGTTTAATTAAAATTTGTCTTACTTATCTATGCCTTAGTGAAAGAGTTCGATAATTCCTCTATTCACATATATTAAAATTTTACATTTTATGATATTGGTTTAATTTTTTAATATTATATTTAAAAAAACATCTTAAATTGTATCATATATTTAGACATATTCATTGATCAATAACAATGATTGAAAATAATATCAGATTTAGACTCTAATAATTTTTCGGATTTGACACAATTCATATATAATTATTATGTGCAAGTGTTGGGAACCCGCCCTCAACTCTTCAGGTCGGACATCGCAATGCCTCACATCCTGGATCTAATAGCCTAGCGGGCCGGACGAATGATACGTTATCGCGTACGGTAAAACCAACGACCCAGCGCAACAGCCGACAAGTCATGCCAAGCAGATAAACCACCTCTCTCACAATCGTTATAGATGTTATATCTTCGATCAGTTAGTCTATGCGTGATACAATTTTGTAACACAATTTTTAAAATATAAATTTCTGTAAAGCATATAAATAATATATTACAAGAAAGTTTTTTTTTCCCTCTCTTTCTGCATGCATAATCATTGAGCCTTTTTTGTCCATATATATATATATATGGACAGAGAGAGAAGAGTTCCAATTTTCCATATATATATATGGAATTGAATTTACTCTGAAACATATGGCTTTTTAATGAGTTGAAAGGCTTTCACATTGGTCCACCTTCATGTGACAACATGCAAATGTGTCTGACCCACATTTTTTAAACTCAACAGTCTTGAGTTCGCGTTATTATTGTTTTTTTTTTTAATTTGAAAATTCCCTCTTATGATTATTGTTGTTATTTTTATAATTGCTACCCATCGTATATTTAAAGCCCGAGTGGTCAAATACAGAGTATTTCAGTTAATCACACGTCTCGTCATTTAAAGGACCAATCATATTATATATAATAATTACTCGAATAGATTAAATAAAGACACCCTTCATATAATTTATTCCAGTCCGGTTATTTTTCTTTGTTGCGCATGTGTAATTATTATTCCTCGATATATACATATATAGTACACTTTGAGTGCTACACACAATAGGTTTTAACATTTATTTTCAGTTAGATCAAGTTATGAAAGTTTATTTAATTATTATTTTTTATTAAAGTTGTACATAAAAATCCATTTCCTTTTTATATATATTCAACCCCTTTTATCCCAAGATTTAATCTACCTTACTCCTTACATATCTTATCTTTTTCTGGTCGATATACAATGATACAACCATATATATATATATATATATACGCATGAAAAAAATGCATATGCATCGTTTCGGAATATAGGATCTTGTCTTCATTTCCACAGACCTGAAATTACAAAAGCAATTTAACATAAATCTTATCCACATTACACAGTTTTTTTTTAAAAAAAAAAGAAAAAAAAAAGAAAGAAAATGATCTCTCCGGAGATATTAATTAATCCGGCTCCCGGACAAAAAAAAAACCGATCGGAGAAAAAAAAAAGAAGAAGAAACACAAAAATCAATCCTCGGCAATGCTCTCCAGGTGTGGTCGCCACGTGGACACTGACGCCGATCGGCTGTGTCTCCGGCGGTGGCGGTTCTCTTTTCCGGCGACGTAACTCAACTTCTCCGATGACAACACCACGTCTTCCAAGTACTTCTCACACAACTTCAAACTGTGATCATTGTCGCTACCACTGATCTTGTTCGTGGCGACGTCGTAGGAAATTTTATTTTTCCGGCGCCGGAGATCTTTATACTTCCTTTTCTTCTTCTCCGACAAGGAAGAGTCCGGGATCAAAAAGTAGATGCTGCCACGCTTGAGCTCAGATTCCGGCGACAATATCAAAATTTTTCGGACAACTCCCTGGGAACAGGGTGTGCTCAGGACATGATTAGGGTTTGCCTTCAGGATCTCTCCGGCCGTCACCGTCCTGGCGATCTCTTCCACGTATCCGTTGAGATGTACGATTCTGATCAAATCTAGGGATCCACATGGAAGAACACAGGCTAGACAACATCTTAAGCTGTTTCCCATATTTCTTGGAACTGAAAGATTTCTCTCTCTCTCTCTTCTGAGAATTCAGAGAGCTTATTCTTTTTTTTTTCTCTCTTATTTTTTGGTGTCTATCGATCTTCTGAGGAGGAAGGCGTTGGAGAAGACGATGATATATAGGAGCCACACTTCACGTATCACCAAAGCGGGGTCGACCATTAGCATTGAGTGCTCCGAAATTACCTTAATACCCTTGCTTATTGTTGTTTTTAGCTTAACCGGACCCTGTTGGCCTTTCAAAAGAATATTTATTTATTCTTTGAAGTCATTTATACTAGTATAATACGACTTTATATTACCTTTTAATTTAAAAAAAAGAAACTTTTACTGCAATTAATGATTGTATGATACATATTGTTTGTTTTCACTTTTCACTAATTGATATGTATATGAATACTAACTAAAATATCTCATAACCGGTACAAGCATGTAGATTAGTACCACAAAAAAAAAAAATAGAGGATCGCATTAAAAGAATTAACCTCTAGATATAAGACAACGATAATTTATACGTAACACGGGCTCCTCCCCTCTAGAATGGTTGGAGTAAAGGGTATTCTGGTCCACTCGTGAACAACAAATAAAAGGAATTACGAAAGATTAATATTGTTTGATTAGGCTTTGATTATTGCTACAATTAGGATTAGTTTTTAGTGAACGCAGCAACATGATCATGTCATACCCAAGTTTGGGTGGCCTAGTAGTGAGAGAACATGCAAAGTATGGTTTCACCCTGGGTTCAAATCCAAGAGTGGGGAGGGGCATTCACCTGAGCTTTCCCGATCCTCTGGGAGATGTAGTCGGGTCAAAAGACCCGGTGAACTTCTGGATTATCCAAAAAAAAAAACATGATCATGCCATGTCATCGCCAATATATAGGCATGGGCTAGGAGGACTTAATACAACTTAAATGCCCTTCCCCTTCTACTATATATCATAATAAAAAAATTTGATTTTTATTTTTATATGCGGACTAGGTTCCAAGGTCCATAAAGATGTTCTGTAGATAGATTTTAAAATATGAAAAAAAATCTATAATTCTTTTGTATTGGTAATATTTTATATGAAACTAGATTGATGTTCAACCATTTTTTCATCCATTGTTGAATGCAACCATCGGATGAATTTTGGGAACTATTTTCGGGGAAAACACCTTTAAAAACATATATCCATATCAAACAGAAAAAAAAGGAGAAATAAACATCTGTATTATGTGAAGGACAAAATGATAACGCGACATATATTAATAATATTAGTATGCAATTAACATTTTTTAAAATACTCATTAGATTTTATTCATTTATATATAATCTTTATTCATATTAATGATTTAAATCGTCATTGTAGCACCGTATTGGCCCTTTAATATATAGTATTAAATTTTGGTGTCTGAGGTACTTAAATGGTTTTGTCGTCAAAGTTTTCCTTGAGACTTCATGTGGATGCCCATTATGACACTTATACCGTACGTACTTTATATGTACGTAAAACTATAGCTTCGGCAACTTTCTTAGATTATGTACGAATGGTGGAGGAGACCCGTTAATCTCGAGCCACGTACGTACATATATACGTACTTTTATAAAAATGTTTAATCTTAGTTATGTCCGATCAAAGAAAAACACACCACGGATGAACTTTTTATTAAACTTCGTACGCTTGCTATTAGGAGATACGGATTATATTAGAATTTGTTTTAACATTGCATTAATGTATTAAACAAAATAGAAAAGAGAATGTATGTATAACATGTTCGGATAATTTTAAAAATAATCCGGATCCGTCCTAATCAAATTGCAATATGGATTATATATAAACTATTGTCTAATATAGTAGATTACGTGATCTAACTAAGAATTACGATACTAATTGACATCATGAAATGTAGAGACCACGTCTACTTATATCACATGTATAAATATCATTGTATAATTTTTAAAATTTTAATCAACATAATTATAAAAAATATTCAAACTTTATATAGTATGGTTATGATCCAAAAATCATATGATCGGACGATTCTCCGAGTATCTATTTTATAAGAGAAATCATGTATGATTTATCGATCGTTTGTTTCTGAACCTTATACATCATGTTTAGAACTAGAGTGTATTCCACATTGATTTTATTATGTTTTTTTTTGTTGAAATTGATTTGATTATGTTTTTTTTGAAATTCTAGCAAATGTACGAAGCCAACGCAGATTGTTTTGGTCATATAATACAAATTAAAGACATGCAATCATATTCCTTGTGGGCTCTCGATTTGGTATTATAAATTGTAGATTAGGGTATTAAACCGTACTTAAGTTGGTTAAGCTAATGATTAACGGCGCACTAAAATAATTACAGAAAACAAACACAGAACGTGCAAATAAAATCACAATGGTACATAAGTCTGTAACTACGTGTGAGGAAGCTTCGTACCACAGAGGCTGGTTTCGGGCACCGACTTCCGAGCGGCGCTTAATTATAATTAATTAAATATGATATTAGTTTTTAATTAATTACGATTAAGAATGCACACACTGTGTTTGTCCACAAGATTCTTTGGTGGTTTTAAGATTGAATCTTAAATTACGAAACTTAGACTTAATGCATCGTAATTAAAGTACGTGAGAGCCAAGCCTGTCGTTGCACAATTTGACAACGAGGCACTTCCAATCATATGTTAATGACATTTATAATCATTATAATCATAATTTACATACTAGTTTTTAGTTACATGGAAAATCATGTATCAAAATCATCATGGGTTAAAATTTGAAAATTATTGGTAATTCTAGTAGCAAATGATACTTTATATAGAACTGATTGTTTTAAAAACCCTTTTTATTTTTATTTTTTATTTTTACTGCCCACAGTAAAATATTTTCTGCAATATTGATCAATTTGCTTAATGAAATAAAAATTTTATAAAAAAAATTCTCTTTTAATTTTATCGTACCAAAATGATATAATATATATAGTTTACATTCAAAACCCATTTTTTTAAAAAATTCTTAGAATAGAAACAGAACACATAAAACCATTTTCACGGATCCCACCCTTTCATGAATAAATAACCAGTCCATTATTCATTATCATTATAATATATAATTTGTTAATTAATTGTACAAAGTGCCACCCTCGCAAAAGTTATAATAATTTAAGTCAGATAAGGCACCTACTTGTTAATTAAATCCTAACTAGAAGTATATGATTAATCGAGTTGCTGTACATTATTTTTATTGTCATTATAAATATAGCACATAACTCTATATGTCACCCTTATGGCAATTTAAATAAAATAAACAAACAATATATATATTAACAGCTGGCGATGTCGGTCCAAGAGTTCAATGAATCCAAGTCTCGTAATCTAAAACTTCTATTTTAGATTTACCAAAATGTATGTTATCTTTATAAATATAATGTGCCCTAAATATATGCCCAATGTAATTTGAGAAGAAGAACAAACGTCCACCGTTTAAAGTAACGGCAAAGGTCCAAAATTAAGTTAGCAGATATTAACGGAAGTTTAGGTATCAACGGGGAATAAATTTATTCTGATACAAACGAACTCCAAAAGGACATATTCATTAATAAAACTATATGTAAATACGGTTTTTATCTTACTTATCTTAAAAACATATAATATGGTTGAATATAATATTTCATATGTTTGGCGCGCTAAATGTAGCAGTTTCTCATGGGTCTTCAAATGCTTTGTCGAGCTTATTTTTACGTTATTAAAGATATATAAGACATAATTTTTTATCAAGCTGAATGATAAATAATATCTCTGTAATGTATATCTCTAATATTCGAAGTATAAAACCAACGTTTACCTTTGATGTTGCTTAGGGTCTACGAGGAAAATGGTAGCAGTTCAATTCTTTCCGTGATTATCATTTCTTAATTTTAATTCAAAAGTTGAATTCATAAGCCTAAAATATTTATAGTTTAAAAAAAAAATCTATTGATATGGGCTCCTATGTTGGTCCAATATGCTTTATATGGGCTTTTTAGCCTAATTTCTTTTACTATCTTGGCCCAATGTTCATCCACCAAGTTTTTTTTACCGAAGATGTTTTAATAACTTCTTATATGTACATGTATATGTATATATATACACACACGCTAAGGTATATATATATATATATGTTTAGTGCCATGTTTAGACCAAACAAAATTGAGTGAAATTAAATAGCAAATAAAACAAAATTTTTCTGGTGAATTAAAATCCCAAACTTTTGGGAAGGCAGCAAAAGCGTGACTTGCCTTGTATTCCACGACAAAACTATAGCATGGTCATGAACATTTCTTATTCCGGTTAAATTTCAAAATTTAATTATTTTCCCTTTTTTGCCATTTAATAAAAATCAAATCTATCTGAATTTAATTTGTTTCCATTTGTTTATATTATACAAATATTTTTTTCTTGATATATTATTTTAGAATCCGATTAGTTTTATTATATAAAAATACATTCCGTTTAGTTTTATATTTTTAAGTAACCGTGTTATATATTAACATTCATACACAGTACACTACCCATTTTTCGTACCACTCAAAACAAGGACAGAGAGAGGTGGAGGAAGGGAAAATGTCTGTATCAGTGATAATAATCATAATGATAACAACAACAATGAGGACGTGCCATGCAACGAACCAGTTCTACGTACCAAAGTTCCCGGCCATTCTCGTCTTCGGCGACTCCACCGTCGACTCCGGCAACAACAACCACGTCGACACCGTGATTCGCGCCAATTTCTTCCCCTACGGCCGAGATTTCCCCGGCGGAGTAGCCACCGGAAGATTCTCCAACGGCAAACTCATCCCGGACTTCGTCGCATCTCAGCTCGGCATCAAAGACACGGTTCCTCCGTTCTTGGATCCTGCTCTGTCCGAAGCCGACATCCTCACCGGCGTCAGCTTCGCCTCCGCCGGGTCAGGCTTCGACGGCATCACCAACTCGGCGTCGAGAGCTATCCCCGTTGTCAAACAGACGGAGATGTTCGGCCGTTACGTGGCGATGCTCCGAGATATCGTCGGAGAAGAAAAGGCGGCGGAGATTATCGGCGAGGCATTGGTGATCGTAAGCGCGGCGACTAACGACTTCAATTTGAATTTCTACGATTTGCCTTCCCGTCGTTTGCAGTTCACCGTCGGTGGTTACCAAGATTTCATACTCACTCGGTTACGAAATTTTTTACAGGTTATTATACTTTTTTTTCCTGTCGTATTTATGAGCATATATATACACTTATGTTCAGCATATTTTAATTTAAATGTGAATTTGGCTTTCGAGTTTTATCCGATGCGTGCATGGACCGGTATTCGAGCACGGCCGTTTAAATCATTTATAAGGTTAATATTGTAATATGAATATGATTATAACAACTACAGAAACTGTATGACATGGGATGTCGGAAAATGACGGTGGCCGGACTACCTCCGGTCGGATGTTTACCGGTCCAGATGACGGTGGATTTAGAGTCGCCGTACACGAGACGATGCGTCGACAAACAGAACTCCGATTCCGAGGCTTATAATCGAAAGCTGAAAGATCTATTAAAGCGAATGGAATCAAATCTCTCCGGCAGCTTCATGCTCTATTCCGACATCTACCAACCCGTGATCGACATGATCATCAACCCCCAGTTTTACGGTACGTAACGCGTTCTAAACCCCCACCCCATGCATTTCACATTTTTTTTAACAAGTTTTGGTTACACCCCTCATGTTTTATGCTTTCATCAATTGCGTCCCGTGTTTCTTTACTCTATCTGCCTGGTCCCAAAAGCTTGTTTCCTAGGGACGCACATGTTATGAATATAAATGACATATTAAACTCTAATATTATATAAATTCTCTATAATTTTGGATAAGGTTTTGTGACATATAGGGCTGGGGAAAAACCCGAATTCCGGGTATTAGAGCATCATATGATATTACATCGACTTGCAATGCGTCAAAAACCTGAGAATTGGATTCAGGTAATTGGGTTTGAGATCATGTATTAGAAAGGGGCACCAGAATAAATATTAAAATGACACTTTCGAATCAACTCTTGATATGTGATATTTCTTTTGAAAAAATTTCAATATTTGGTATTTTAAAATCGGATTTGGTTACCCGATTTTTTCGGTGCAGAACAAAACAGATCCGAACTTGGATAATATCTCATAAGATCCGAAACATTCGGGTTTGGGTTTGAGTAACCCAAAACTCCCGGGTACCCGACTACACCCACCCCTAATTAATGACACGCCTATCAAATTATACAATAAATTCTCGATTTATATAAGATGTTTAAGCCGTCCAAGCGATTTTCATCGCCTGCCAACTTCACCAGAGCATCTGTGTCATTGTGTCAAGTCAAGAAATCTAGGGTTTCAGTTTGCTGTTTGAAAATGCGACAGGGCTGAACGAGACGAAGAAGGGATGCTGTGGGACAGGTACTATGGAAGCTTCGTTCATGTGTAACAAGTTGAGCCCTACATGTCCGAACCCCGACGAGTTCCTGTTCTGGGATGCCATCCATCCCTCCCAGGCTGTTTACAGCTTCATCAGTCGCCTTGTCGTTAATGAGGTCCTCCAAAAAATGTTCTAAGTAATAGTCATCTTAATTAATTCAATACCCTTTACTCGATTTGACGGTTCAGATTTTGTTGTTGATCTAGAAATTGATATGGGGATTATTAATTGAATGTTACAACCGTATGTTATAAGCGGTGTATGTGATTTTGGACACCGTAATATGATTTTCAAAATGTTATAAATTTGTTATATTGCTGGATTATCTTTCGAATATTATCTAACTTAGCATCAGAATTAGCATATGGTGTAGTTATGTATGTACATTTAGCATCAGAATAAGCATCCAAATACTCCCTGCATTTGCTTCTCGGAAAATTAATAAAATAAAAAATCGGATTCAAAATAAGATGAGAAAATATTATATTGTCGGAAAATGGATAAATTATGATTAATATTTTACTGATTGGGAAGACTAACATAGAAAAAATATATGTAAACAAAACAACATACAATGATTATCACATTGTTACCAAATGTGTCAATTTATAGGCAACCAAATTCCGAATACTAGGTCTACACGGTAGCGTGTCAATTAAGCAAACTAATCCATTTTCTAATTACAAAGGACAGATCTGTTAAACCTGCTTCCTTCCATTTATAATAATAATAATATTATAACTAGTTTTTTTAATTAAGATTAACTAATATATATGCGTGTATTAGTTAGAAGCTTGATTGGCGTTTAAACCCTACTTTCTCATGGGAAAAAAAAGTTGACAGTAATTATATGCTTTTGAAAACTTTGTAGACTTTGCGACGCGTCATTGCTTAATCCATGTATAGTTCAAAGTCCAAGGCTTTGACAAAGATAAAATGTTTCTTTTTTTAATGAAAAAGATAAAATGTTTGTTAGTACATGCATTGAATTCTTCGAAAATGTGTACATACATACATATATATATATATATATATATATAAAAGTAATATATATCGCAAAAATAAAATGCTTGTTTATGTTCTTTTGGTATGGATGCGGAACGGTCAGCAACCGCAATAAATTTGAAATTTACATTTACTTAAATTATTAAGAGGAAATAATTTGCATAGACTTGCGAATTGATCCAAAAACGGTTTGCGTAGATTATTAAATTTGATAAGAGGACCAAAAAAAATGAAGAAATTCCGCAAAATTTCAAGTGGGAACAAGGCTGAAGCTAAATATTATTTAATGGCTGACATGTTTACAGTGGTGAACCAACTTCTGATAATTTTTCAAATTCATTTTTTACACAAGGATTAGTTAGGGTTTGAATTCAAGCATATATATATGGGGGGTCACGTATATTTTTGAATATAAGATAATAAGTCCATCACGTATTTAGATTAGATCTATATAGAACCGATTATATAATTAATATTTGGGATTGTTTAAAATCAGATGGTTTAGATTCGGTCACCTTATTTTTATAATTCGTTGTCTATTAATATCTAGAATTTAGATATTGATCCAAATGATCGGGTATTGGCGAATAGAGGAAGGCCACGTGTCTGCAATCAAGAGTTCGGAAAAATAGGACAAGAAGAGGCAGAGGATTACATATAAGAGTGATGGACTTTGATCCTAGTTTTTAATGGTTATTCCAAAAATTTGTTTAATTACAACTATAAGAGTAAAAGTTAAAGTAAATGGAATTTCCTAATGTATTCGGAAATAGTAAAATTTAATTCTGAATCCGATTTTATAGGTATTTCATTTTAAAAATCCGATTTCCATCTATTTAGTGTTCAAATACAAAAAAAAAAAAGAAAAAGAAGAAGATATTTTTTATCCATCTTATTTCGGATTAATTTTGAATTTTATTATTAATTTTTTTTTTCTATAACCAACCGCTACTCTACTTACCAAATGATTATGAATTTTTCAACGCAGATTTGCTCCATATTGGGCCCTTGGGGATAACACAATAACATAGGTTTAGTGATTCTTGAGCGGCGGCATAGTTTGTTCTTTCGAAATTGTGTCCACAAAGGGAAATTAGATAACATAATAAGAATTATATATCTATATATATATATATATTATGTAGAATTTTTACAAAAAAAAACATATTTGTATATGAAAATTTTCCTACAAAGTTGTATATGCAACAAAAGCATAGTCCATGGATCTTGGGTTATTTCCAATCGTATTTAATGTAAACAAAGGAAAGGGAATCCTAGTAACGAATTAGCCTAGTGGGTGCACCAAATCAACTATAGTCAACATTTTTCTCCATCGTGCTTACACTAATGACCTAATGTTTTAAAATATTTATTATTCTTCAGATTTAAATTATACAATATCTCTTCCCGCTTAGTTCCAATGTATAAATACCTCCCTCTTCCCTCCCCCATCTGCTCATCGCCGAGCTTCACACTACCGGCAACAATGGCGTCTCTTCCTCCCATTCTCCTGTCGTTCTCCATTCTCATCTGCATCTCTTTTCTTTCTTCTTTCGCCTCGGCCGAGCTTCACGTCCGAGAATTCGTGGTAAGTTCTTCTGTTTTCTCTGTAACTTTTAACATTTTCCGACACGATTTAATAGGGAAATGTTTTTCTATTATTGATAATGGGAAGAATACATCATAATATATAGCAAAATACAATAGAATATTCTCGGCATAATATCTAGGGTAAATCATAACAATATTAATGATGATATTATAAGAATAATATCTTCCTATATGCCCCCTCAAGATGAATCATCTATGATGAATTCAATCTTATTACATAAAAACTAAAAACTGAAATTGTGATCGTATTAAACGAATCATCTTCCATGTGGTGGTGTAGTCCAGATTTGAGTTGGTGTTGCTTGATAACGTTTGAAGAGCTTGAGAGTTGTATTCTCAGAGGCTGATGTGGCACGGATGTGCGGCGCATATGCGCGAGTTGGGTTGCGCGACAATGAGGTCGGCAGCGCAAAAAAAATTGCGATGTGTATAGCGGCTAGGCCGGAGAAAAGAAAAAAAAATGAGCGCAAAAGCGTGACGCATAATGCGTGGTAGTCTAGCAGCGGAACAAGAGAAGAAAATAAAAATAAGTGACGCAAATACGTGGATCGATGATCGGAGTTTTCCAATCGAAAGAGGCTAATAGCCATGTTTAAAGAGCTTACAACGGCTAGGGTTGACGTCGATAAACAAACATCGTCGTTAAAAAAAAAATAGCACATCGTCTAGGGTTGACGTCGATAAACGAACATCGTCGTTAAAAAAAAATCGGCTAGGGTTGACGGTGATGAACACCGCCGTCGGAAAAAAAAATAGAAGAAAAAAAAGAGCAAAATAAATTTAAAACGATACTCAAGACGATGATACTATTGGATTTAGTACATCGTTGTCATCTTCATCGTCGCTTTCGGATTCGACCGACATTGTTGATGAGAAGAAGAAAAAAAAAATTAGAGCAAAAACCGAAGCTCTGATACCATAATAGGGAAATGTTTTTCTATTATTGATAATGGGAAGAATACATCATAATATATAGCAAAATACAATAGAATATTCTCGGCATAATATCTAGGGTAAATCATAACAATATTAATGATGATATTATAAGAATAATATCTTCCTATACGATTTACCTTTTGGAAAAGATAAGAGTTTTTTTTTTTCGTCTCGGATTCTTTCTGGTTTTCGGGTGATTTATTAGATCGAGGCGAGGCCAGTGAAGAGGCTGTGCAGAACTCATCAGACCATCACCGTGAACGGCCAGTTCCCTGGTCCAACGCTTGAAGTTAGAAACGGGGACTCTCTCGCCATTACCGTCGTCAACAAAGCTCGCTATAACATTAGTATCCACTGGTAATATAACATTTTAGGTTAAATCTCTTATATACATAAGTACTATATTACCCCCTTATAGTAACTTGACACGGAAGTAACTATCTTCTGTTGTGTTTTTTCCACAGGCATGGAATAAGACAGCTTAGGAATCCGTGGGCGGATGGACCGGAGTTCATAACGCAGTGCCCCATCCGACCAGGACAGAGTTACACTTACAGGTTCACGATTGAGGGGCAAGAGGGTACGCTGTGGTGGCACGCCCATAGCCGATGGCTTCGAGCCACGGTCTATGGAGCTCTCATCATCTACCCTCGTCTCGGATCTCCATACCCTTTTCCTATGCCCAAGCGAGACATCCCCATTCTTCTCGGTACGATATATATACACATACATATATATATCAACTCTCTGTGATTATCAGTTTAACTCTCTCTTCCTGACCGAAACAGGGGAATGGTGGGACAGAAACCCCATGGACGTCCTAAGACAAGCCCAGTTCACCGGAGCCGCACCAAACGTGTCAGACGCTTACACAATCAACGGCCAGCCCGGTGATCTCTACCGTTGCTCTCGCCGTGGAACCCTCCGGTTCCCGGTTTTTCCTGGCGAAACCGTACAGCTCCGCCTCATCAACGCCGCCATGAACCAAGAGCTCTTCTTCGCCGTAGCTAACCACCGACTCACCGTCGTTGAAGTTGACTCCGCCTATACCAAGCCCTTCACCACCAACGTCGTCATGATCGCTCCCGGCCAGACAACCAATGTTCTTCTGACCGCGAACCAGCGTCCCGGCCGCTATTACATCGCTGCTCGAGCCTATAACAGCGCGAACGCGCCGTTCGACAACACCACGACCACAGCTATACTGGAATACGTCAACGCCCCGCGTCGAACCGCTCATGTCTTCCCGCGTTTGCCCGGTTTCAACGATACCGCGACCGTGACCGCGTTTACGAACCGTCTGCGGTCCGTGAGAAGAGAAGGGTTACCTCTCGAGATCGACGAGAATCTGTTCTTCACCGTGGGGTTGGGACTCATCAACTGCTCAAATCCGAACAGCCCGCGTTGCCAGGGCCCGAACGGGACGCGGTTCGCGGCTAGCATGAACAACGTCTCCTTCGTTCTTCCGAGCCGCAACTCGCTGATGCAGGCCTATTACCAGGGGAAACGTGGCGTATTCACGACGGATTTCCCGCCGGTTCCGCCGGTGAAATTCGATTACACCGGGAACGTGAGCCGAGGGCTGTGGCAGCCGAGTCGGGGGACCAAAGTGTACAAGCTCAAGTACAAGGCCAAGGTGCAGATCGTATTACAGGACACGAGCATTGTCACAGCAGAGAATCATCCGATGCATTTACATGGTTACCAGTTCTATGTTGTCGGGTCGGGTTTCGGGAACTTTGACCCGAAGAGAGACCCGGCTAAGTTCAACCTCGTCGACCCTCCGGAGAGAAACACCATTGGAACACCTCCCGGTGGTTGGGTCGCCATGCGGTTCATTGCCGATAATCCCGGTGATTATCTCCCCTGTTTGGCAAAACCCACATGAAAAAAAAGGAACTATTTTCATAAATATGCACAACCCCTAACTAATTTTTCACGTCTTCTCAGGGATTTGGTTCATGCATTGTCACATCGACTCGCATCTTGGGTGGGGTCTCGCCATGGCATTACTGGTGGAGAACGGAAAAGGGGAGCTTCAGACGGTGCAGCCTCCACCGTTGGATCTTCCAAGATGCTAAAGCTGTCGCGACCCTCCGCCGCTGGATCGGATATTCATCGTACTCGTATCTTTCCTTTCTGGGTTTCTTTTTTCTTAATTAATGAAAGGTTTGTGGGTTTTTGATTTGTAAGCTGTGCAAACTGCTCCAGCTCTTGTTTGGATCCGATGTACTTTTTGTTTTGTCTTCCCCGAAAACATTAAAACATATGCTCTCTTTATTTCTTTTTGGTCAACCATGTGTTTGAATTTAGATATATGCGCTTTAATAGTATAAATAAATCCTTTTAGTTCAGATATTAGCTTGCAATCTTTTTAATCTAAGTGAAAAAAATATAGGAGGGAAATCACGGCCAGAAGACGAATATGTGGGTTTCTTTTTAGTTCAGATAGTCTCAAGGTTATCTTTATACAGGGCCGTCTTAAGACATATGCAAGTGGTTCTTCAGCACAGGGCTCCACAATTTATGTGGGCCTCATATTTTAATTTTTTTTTATCAATTTATAGTTAATATTTATTAATAAATGATTAAAATCAGATTTTATAAACCTCCAGGAACCCTTAAAAATAGGTAGAAGATATGTTTATAATATTTCTCATTAATAATTATAATTTTTTAGTCATTTTTTAAGTTATGATATTAATTTTTTAATCAATATAATTAATAATTATATTTTTCTATAAATCTAAAATGAATCTTAATTTTACACTATCAATCTTTTTCAATTAAAAAAAATCACTCTTATACCTTACTCTTCGTTTATATTTTTATTTTATGAATATCACAAATCTTAAGATATTCTATTATCAATATTTATTTTTTAATGATAATATTATCATTCTATTGTATATTTATTATTCTCAACTAAAATTAGAAAAATGATCTTATTTAAGTAAAAAATGATACAATTATATTCTTTTTAAAAAATATATTCTTAAAAATATAATTTTTCATATTAATATTTTAATATAATTCATAATATTTAAATATTTTAAAATTTTATATTTTATATTTAATATATTAATAATAAAATAAATATTTGTTGTACCGCCCCCAAAAATATATGAGACGGCTCTGTCTTTATATAACAGGTTCTGGAAAGAAGAGGGGGCAGAGCCAGAGTTATAAGGAGGAGCAAAGGGGACGGATTTTCATGAACTTGCAAGTCGTAGATTACATTTTAAGGTTAGAGAATCAGACATCATTGTCCGAGATGGCCGAGTTTACGGTCTGTCTCCGAGCTGAGAAATGAAGGAGACGAAAGCTCGAACGATACATGAACACGTAACGGAGTCGAGTCCGATTAACGGGAATTGATACATGAGTGGCCACTCAAACCCAAGTTATAAAACCGAAGCCCCTCAAATGATGAGGAGCCGCTTTCAGGAGAAAGCCCATACAGGGGAATCTCTATTTTGATCCAATACATCAGAAGAAATCTCGATTTTGGCGCTAAGGTTTGGATGGCATGGCACCCCAATCTAAAAATTCATCTTCAAAAAAAAAAGAGAGCTCAGGATTGTAAGCCGGAATCATCTAAGAAGTCAGATGAACGCGACAGACCCAACCGCCACAGAGGCTGACGTCATCACAGCTCATGCACCAGCCGGGAATCGAACCCGGGTCTGTACCGTGGCAGGGTACTATTCTACCACTAGACCACTGGTGCCTTTGTGTATTGTTATGAATTGTTATAATATATCTCAATTTTATTCTAGTCTAATTTTTAAAATAATTTTGCGAGTTGTAAGCTCATGTGGCATTTTCTTGTCTACATTATATTAGACGACTGCATTTCGCTCCTGTAAATGGTTGTGAAGTCTTTAGACCATTGTCCATAATCGTTTCGGATTCATTCAGTGTTTTCTCAAATAAAAAAGAAACATAATTTATCCAACAGATACAAAAAAAAAAACAAATGCAGTCCAATTCCTGTTCAAACTCAGAAAATAAGCAATCGGTAGATATAACCCTAATCAAATCATTTACAGTTCTACCCTTAACCGGCGGAATTAACTGCTAACCCTAAACATGGTCACTATACGGAAAACGTTATCATATACGATCAATATTAATGCGGAGCTATTAAACTGAATCACATACCTCCAGGCCCCAACCATTGATGTATTTGTTGCAGAAAGTGACCGAGTATTTTGGCAATTGTCTGTATGTTGCTTAATTAGGTTAGGGATCAAATACGTAAATATTGGGCGGTTAAGTATCATCATTCAGTTTGCACAAAACACAGGACTAAATATCGAACCACAATTATTTGTTTAGGTGGAAGTTCATCACAAGGAAGCTTGTTAACTTCCTACGTTATGGGAGGTTACATTAAAAAAAAAAAAACTTCCAACATAACCGAGTACAAATCTTTGGATTCTATCTATATTCTTGAACATATATATAATAATGATCATAGCCCAGACATTGGACCGTACGTCATAAAAGCATCAAGGCGATTGAGACCATGGACCGAGACGTAATCTTCAAAAGTTCAACGATGCATAGTGAACTAATTCTGTGTGGTTCACTTATATAAGATCAATCAAGTCAGCGTGAATCTATGAGAGTGGTTGATGTAGTCGCCGATGAACTTGCCTGTGATGCCAAAAATACCCTTGATATCTTCCGTCTCATCGGTGTCTCCCGAGGGGCAGGAGTGTAAATTCCCCCCGGAGAGTTCGTTATTGGAATGGATTAATGGTGAAGCTTCATCACGATCTGGGATGGTCTTCTTTCTTCGATATCTTGTATGTCTCCATGTCTCTCTCTCTCTCTCTCGTTTCTACATATATAGTTATGTAACATGGTTTATAGAAGTACGTATATATTACATACATATATATATATGTATGCTAGCTGACTATGAAGGCCATCATGCATGGTTGCTTTGGAAAGTTGATAAGTACTCGCATATTTCGGGACAATAATTGGTAATATTGGCTGGATTGTTTCATACTTTATGGTCTTTAGGTAACCATCAAAATGCAAATACTATGTTTAACATCATTGAGAAATACGATCACAAAATTCAAAATTCAACAAAATATAATTACGCATTGGAAAACAAATAAAATTATTATTTCAATATTTATTAATGTTATTTCATATACTGTTATTTTATACTGTGTATTATTTTAATATAAAATAGTATAAATTGTTACGTATATATGTATTAAATAATTTTATATTAAATGTATATTTATTGAACATGAAGTGGTCCTGCGTGGCATCTTATCCCGATAAAGATGGGATCATGGGACAATCCGAAGGTGATTGGTTATATGGGGCCCAGCTTTGCCAACTCATTATCCATTATTACCCTTTTCGCGCCCCCAAAAGTCCAAACCATGGACCGTTTTCATTTTTTGGGCCTTTTTTGGGCCTTTTGTACTATATATTACATTATTTCATATATTTTGTTGTGCATATACAAAATATGACAATTGCTGTGCATGGATATATATATATCGCCTTCATAGTATTTACTTACTCCCTTAAATTTTATTTATCATATTTATTTATTTTCGCATAACATAAAAAACAACAAAAATATTTTTTTACCAACAAATGTTATTTTTTTTTTAATAAAGTCAATTGAAAATCATAATATATATATATATATATATATATATATCTTCCCATTTGATCAACATATATACGTGCCCGTCCTCCCATATATATATATATATATATATATATATATGAGCTATCACTATAAGATAATTTTCTGCCGTTAATATTGAAATTGCTCGAGACTGTTGTTGTACGTTAATAGATTAGCTTTGCCGAATAAAAAACTTTAGTTTGCCAAAGGAAACACATGATATGATATGAATAAATAATATTTCGCATATGCATATGGGGCAACATGCACGCCTACGTGTAATTTAGACAAAAGCTTTTATACATCCGTCCAACACGTAGGCTGCTAAATATATTTCTATTTCCGATTACTCTTATAATTTTCTATCTTAATAGAATAATGAAATCCGCGTAAGTTAACGATTAAATATTCGTACAATAATTATATTATACGGAAAGACAGTTATAAGTTCCCTGGCTTGGTACGATCGTAAAATACAAGTTAGAGGTATTTGAAAATTAATAATAAATTCATAACATGATTGCATTTTTTTTAGTTATAAGATTCTTCTCATGACAGTCCATACTTTGATTTTGCGTGTACCATCACATGAACATTAACAGTAGATAACTTAATCAAATTCAACATCACCTCTCTCTCTCTCTCTCTCATTTTTTTTTTGTATTCAAACAACCGCGAGGATGAGAATCCAAGCAACAGTGAATGCGACTTTACCTTATAACGTGTGAAATAAAACACTAATGATTAAATCATATAATGTCGGTCGAATAATAAATTCTTAGTCAAATTATAAGTTTGAACGACGTAGATTTGGATTTCAAAAATTTTGAAACTAAAAAAAACTTATCCGTGCATGAAAAATAAAAGGAATTCCAAACCAAAGTTACTTGTGTAGGCGGATTTAAGAAAAATTTTCTTTAATCATAATGTTTATATTTAGTATACAAGATTCATGATGCGGAAATCTAGACTAGTGAATTCTAGTAGAAGAATGTATTCTATTTGTTGAATGTATTTACTGAAATACCCTAATCATATTAATTAGGTGTAAGAAAATGTTCACAATTGATTAAAAAAACGGACTTTATCAATGATAAGTCATAATAAATTAGGTAATATACGTGCATCTTTTCATGAAATTAATTTGCATATTTTTTTGTAATGAAACGTGTTTATGTTTCATGTTGTTTTCTGTGTTGAATGGATTGACTTTTGCGTTCGTTAATTTTCTAAACACCATGCAGGAGAGAGAGAGAAACTATGAAAAAATGAGAGGAAGATATAAGGCTAACCGGTTGCACCGCCACCACCCGCAAACGGAACGATTGCGATTTTTAGTGGGTGGTGAAGGGTGAGAGACCGACTAGTTACGCTGTACACAAACGCAAGCACAACAAAACTTTAAGATTCAAAACGTTGTTTTTGAAAGCGTTTCCGGGCGTTTAAAGCAGAAGACCAAAATACCCTTGATCTATTTCGGTTCTGAACAAAATAACAAATAAAACTCTCTACATCTAATCGTCACATGCGTTACACTTTGGCTTTTGACTTCTACGTTGGGAAACTTCTCGAAGCCCATTCATTGAGAAAATCCAACCGACACTGATTAATTAATTGATTTTGACTAAGTCCAGAGAGACTCTTGCTTGAGAGGGTCTTGTAATTGCATCTGCATCTGCATCTGCATTGCACTGCTTGAAGAGGCAAAGTTAGTGCTGAAATGTCCAGACATTGCATAACCCAGGTGGTGGTGGTTGCTGTTAATGTTGTTGTTGATGTTGTTGCTGTTCGACAAAAGGGCTTTGTCGTCTTGGTCTATAAACACCTGGGATTGTACTATGGTCGTGTCGTGATGCATCTGGATGCAGAGAACCTCGGCCTGAGCAACTGCTAGCTGCATCTGAAGCTGCGAGACTTGGTCCTGTAAATACGAGATTGCTCCCACGCATCCATAGACTGGGTCTCTCACCCGAGCGTTCGCTTCAAACACCAAACTGTTCACTGCATCTGCTCTCTGGTGAATCGGAAGCTCCTGAATCAATTATAACAAAACGTTTTAGACACATAGCATAAGCAAGCAATGGGAAGTTCATATATATGTACACACACAGGGAGAGAGGGATGATCGATAACGAAAGAGGGGGGATCGATCGGAGGGACCTGAAGCATTTTGCTGACGTTACTGGCGCCGAAGACCTTGTGGACGATGGCGAACTTGTGAGGATCGTCCGGTGGGAAGTACGGAGCGAAGATACAGTCCTTTGCGCAGCGACGTCTCAGCAGTTTACAAGACGCGCATGGCGAAGAACCCGACGAACCCCCCATCTCTGTCCTATTAGAAGCGACTCCAAACTTTAAAAGGATTGATCCGAGATATATTTTGTTCCTTTTTAGATGTTGAACACAAAAAAGGGGAAAAAATTATATAGAGGAGGAGAAGGATGAAGAAAGCTTAGAGCTAAAGAGAATTAGTTTTGAGGTGTGTGTATTTATAATGGTCATGAAGACTCTAAGGGCGACGTCGCGCGTTCACATGTCCTCATTTATAACTTGGAATTAAATGGAGAATATATAAGAACAAAAAAAAAATGAAACATTTACTATATATATATTATATATTCTTTTGCGAGTTTTATAGATTTCAAACTAGGGTTTTAACTTTTATTGGTACAGTAAACACCAAAAGGTTGAAGATAGAATAAATTAGGACAACGAATATGTCATAAATAGATTATAACTCCGCATTAAAAAAAAATAAAAGAAGAAGACTCAAATAAAAGCAGATGATTTAGAGAAAGATTGATAGAATACACGTGTATTTTTAGGCAGAACGCTTATTACTACTCAAATGACGAATTTGCCCCCTAGAGCAATATAAAAGAAAAATGTGATGACGACCACCGCGTAGGCGCGTGATAGGTTGGCGTTCATGCAGTTTAGTACTTCCCACGTTCCTTTGGTTGACTCTCTCTCTCTCTCTCTCTCTCTCTCTCTCTCTCTCTCTCTCTCTCTCTCTCTCTCTATTAACATACGACATCATTCTTACATTAAGTGAAGACATTAGTATTTTATTATTTCTAGTCTCGATATTCTTTTTTCAATATGGAAGATAAGCTTTGTGTTCTAATATTAATAAAATCGAGGAAAATGATATATTTATATAATCAAAACTGTATATTTAGAAGAGATCGTATTTTTCAAAAAAAACATTGAGCCTAAAAAATCATATCTATGTGTTCCTCCTTCAGGTCAGGGTTCGAATCCAGACATACGGGGAGGAAGAGGCATAGCTAAAGGCGGTGTATTCAAAGGCTGTTCCCGGACCCAGGGAGATGTAGGTTGGGCCGAAGGCCCAGGTGAACTTCCTGGTTTGACAAAAAAAAAATCATATCTAAGGAAAATATTATAGAAAACATGTCTATTTTGAAGATTTTATGTATGTATTTTACCTGTATTTCTGAAAATATCATTATATTCTATACTTAGAGATGAAATCTATATTATCTTTTTACCCAAAAAGAGATCTATATTATAAGAAATATATTTAGAAGAAAAGAAGAAAAATAAAATTTAGAAATATCTCATGTATAAGAAAATTTTATAAAAAAAAACAAGACGAACATGATTAGAAGAAAGCCTCTTTACCAGTTTGCAGTCGGTGAAAAATTAAATTGATTTAACGATTTTTTAAATAAAAAAGAATCAAACAGTTGCCTATATTTGACTTACTTTTTAAAATAACAGATAATGTTCAAGATTTTCTTTAAATGAGAATATTTGTCTGTAGAAAAAAAAATACAATTTCTCATTTCAAAATCGTATTTTCCAGATATGTTATTACGTGATTTTTTTAAAATCATACGTCGGCCCATATTTATTTGACCCTTAATTTGTTCCTAATCTTGGAATTAAAAAAAAAAAAGGAATGGGCGGATATTGGTAGGGTTTTACTGTAGAAGTGAGAACGACATGAACCCTTATTCGGACCAAGACTCCCGAGAGAAATGGGCTCAACATGAATGTTTGTTGTCGAACATTCACATGAAAACTGCAACCATTTCTTATATATATATATATGTGTGTGTGTGTGTGTGTAAATATTGAAATCAAAGTAACCGTTACGAAGGAGGCTCGAGTTTTGGTGGTTAGATTAAAAAACTGATATGATTATTTTAAAAGGAAGACAAATTGAAAAAAAAATAAGAAAAAGGGACAGATTCTCGGAAGAAGCATCTACCAGTGGAACTAGGTCAGCGACTTCGATGCTTAAAAGTACTTATTTGTTATAAGAATACACGATCGAAGACAAAATTTTTTTAAAAAAAAAAGCTTTCCTAAATCTTTGTCTTATTTAACTAAACCACCAAATGTAAGATCTTAGCCTAGAGACAACAACGATAATAAACACCCCTTCTTGTTCTATATATTTGTTAGCAAATCGAATAAATATAATATAATCATATTTAAACAAAGTTTGATTTAAAACCCGCTTGGATATAACTATCTTTAAATCAAATTATTAAGTCCAAAAATCGAATATGAATGGTTTCGTAATAAAAACCGAATATGAATTCCGATCCGCAATCCAATATATGTATAGTTTTTTCGAAACCAAAACATATGAATTACAAAAATAATTGAAACTAAACCAAAAAACATTGTACTACAATTACTAATATATGTAAAATAATTGATCCTAGTTACGAGAGATGAATATGTGGTTAATTAATACTTATTCAGTATGTCGTTAATATCAGAGAAGGTTGGGAGAGTAATATTTAATCCGTTGGTTGGGCGACAAACATTATACATCGATTTTAACACCTAATTAATCCATAACGTCCAAATTTAAAGCTTTTTTATTTGTAGGCCTGCGCAGAATTCGATCGAAAACCCTAACTTTTTTTTTTTGAATCCGAGAAGAACAAATACTATTTTCGATATCTTTCTTCGAAAACCGAACAGAACTTAATCTTGTCTTTCTGGGGCAATAAGCTCATGAATTCAGTTCTTCAAGTCTTCTTTGTTTATTTTCTTTGATTTTTATATGTATTTGCATACTAATATTTACATAGCTGATGCAACACGAATATTGGAATAAGAAAATAAATAATTTTGTATTTATCTATATGTAATTAAGTTTATTGTTTCGAAATGCTATTTTCTTGTAGATAATATCGAGTAAATTAATCTCGAAATTTTCTTCATGTCTATGGACTCAATTCAAAGGTTGTTTTCAATGGACAATGTATACAACATTGGGGAGCTAGAAAATTAAAGAAGGGGAAATAGGAATATTTTAAAAAAAGAGCATAAATGCAGAGTAGGGGTGGACATTCGGTTCGGGTATTTCGGTTATTAATGAAACGGCCGATATATACCCGAACCGAATAAAATCAAATAACCGTTTGGTTATGATTTTTTAAAACACGAAATAACTGAACCCAAAATATAATAATCGTAAACCGAATAAACCAAATCTAAATTAACCATATCGAATAAACCGAATATAACTGTTTATCCACCTATGTATCACTAGTTAATATACAATATATGTTACATCTAATTAGAAAAAAATAGTATAATGATATTGTTTTATAACTATGGTATATAATAAATTGAGATATATAATTTTTTTCTAATTTAATCATTGTTTTATTATTTCAATTTATTTTATTCTTTATGATTTTTAAATTTTGTGCTATATAAACATTTGAAAATGATAAAAATTATTTAAAATATTTTATTTTGTTATTTTTAAGTCAAAACAAATTATGACATAAATTTATATTTTGTTGTTTTATATGTTAAGATGTTCATAATGGTATTTTATATTATATCTTGTTTGAATATTTTTTCTATTATAATCGTTTCAAAAAAAATTAATATTATAATCGAACCGAACAAAATCTTTATTTGGTTATAATTTTAAGTGTATAAAACCGAACCGAACCGAACCAAACCGAAAACGAATAAAATTGAATAATCGTTAGGTTATGAAATTTCAAAAATCGAAATAACCGAATCCAAATTAACCGTGATCGATTAACCCGAACGGAACCGTTCGTCCACCCCTAATGCGGAGGGAAATTAAAGGGAAGACACGCGAAACGAGATCCAAGAGGAGGAAGAAGGGAGAAAGAAATGGAGGGTGGGAAATTAGGAACGTAGAAATCACGTGGGCATGGGCCTACATAAAGTCCACTTGACACGTTTAACTATTTCACTTAAAGGGCGAGGAGTGGCCCCTACACTAGAATTGTTTTTATTAGTATTTTTATTGTACAGTTATTATTCCAACCATATCTCATTTAATGAACACCACACATGATTCCAAAGCTTTAATTTCATTGTCTCCTTCTACATAATCTCATTTAATTTCCCTCTGTTATATAATTTTGTCTCACTAAATCTTTTTGCTTTCAATTATTTCTAAAAATATGATAATCACTTTATATATATATATATATATATAAGCAAACTTGTAAGCAATCTTACCACCTTAGAAAAAACATACTTCAAGTAACATTTTACTCCATAACCTATAGAAATGTGTGTGTGTGTGTGTGTGTGTTACTATTATACTACAGATATACACACACATAGTGTTAAGAAGATTCGAGGGGAAGAACAGATAGCGTAGTGGGTTCCCATGTACTTGGGCTTGGATCCAAACCCGTTCCTCTAAAGTCATAACGACGACAACAACAAAAATATCGATTTTTTACCCCAAAAAAAAAAACAAAAATATCGAAGATCTGAAATTCATGAATCCACGTTGATGAAGAGTTGTTTTGCATTAAACGGGGGGAAAAAACGGATGCCATTAACAACCAAAACCAAAAAGAAAGAGAGAGTTCTTATTTGATACAAATTTACGTGTATACATATTATGGAAATTAAAGGGAGAGGATTATTCAGCAAATGTAAGACTAAATTAAATGACCGATCGATATATAGGAGAAGAATATATGGTTTAGAAACATATTTTAGAAATTAAACTGTCACCTAGGGAAGAGATTCTTGATATCTTTAGGCTCATCCTTAAGTATAGTAACTCTTAAGTTAAAGACCCGAAAAATAAATAAATAAAATAAAAGAAAAGAGAGAACAGACATCTTTCGCCCACCTCGGAGAAAAATAAAAGCATGTGAGACTCGATGCAGAGCATTGAATGCACAAGAAGATGATGACATGGAAGATTCGGTCCCTCGGTATTTGAAGTTTCTCAAGACAAGAAGCAATGTTTGACGAGTGCAGTCAAATCCATCCATGGTCCCTTGTTTTTATTTTCAACTGACCAGAAATTTGTGTCTGATCCTCTTCTTGTCGGATTCCCAACGAAGGGCATAAAATATTTCGTGTACGTAGCTGCATAGGATAGGACTCTCTGTACGCAGTGACCGAAGAAGAAGAAGAAGAAGAAGAAGAAGAAGCAATGCATATGCACGTGAAGATCATAAAGGCAGAGAGACTCGTGCTAATCTGTAGTTAATTAATGAAGCTCGTATTTGGAATTCGCTCCATGTGCGTGCATGCATGCATGATGCCAAAACAATACGAATATTTCGGTAGACAGAGACAAACTATTATGCTGCTTCGAATTAAATGCCCTATATGTTGTGATTTCTAAGCAATTTGACCGTATAAACGGGAAGTCCTATCTCAGATGAAAAATGACAAACCATTTCTATACGAAGTTGTGAGTTCGTTTTCTTCTGAAATCTAATCTACCTTGCAGAATCGATCAACTTCGGCTAGTTTATCCATTCTATGTGGTTTGTCGACTATTGTGCGGAATCAGACGGTTTACTGTCCGAGATGTCGTCCGACCCGAATGGTTGTTTCCATTCTCACCGTATACAAAAAAAAAATGATCGTATAAAAGGAATACGACGCTAATATTTCATGATCATCCGTTCTTAATTATGAAAATATGGAAAAGATTTCGGGTCTTATGAGGGGTTTTGGGCTACATCTTGAATTTGGATAATGTATATGTTCGAGAGTTAATTAGAATTGGTTGTTAAGTTTGTCTCATGTATTTGTGTTTAAAGAACTTGTTCTAATCTCAACCAATAACACGCAGAGAATAAGGTGTTTTGTGTAATTTTCTATTTATACCGTCCCAGTGCGAAACGCTGTCGTTTTGAGTGGATACGGAACTCGTGTTGTTTTGTTACAGGCCCAATCCATAATGGAGGCCCATTAATATATGCTGGTGCGTTTAATTTTAAATGTATTAGAAAAACTTGTTTTTAAATAGATGATTTTGAAATTTAAAAAAGCTAAAAAAACATCAAAACATAATTCTATTATTTTAAAACTCAAAATCCAAAAACACATACAAGGTCAAAAACCAAAAAAAAAAAAAAAAAATCAAACCATTGAAAAAAACTGTGATATTAAAACGAGTACATAAAAAAATTTTAGACCGTTTTTCAATTTTCTTTGATATAATTTAAAAAAGTGGGAAGGTGAGGTAAGATATTTGTATAAAAATAACGGATCTTAGCAATGTGATTACAGTATTAGTCTAAGATGAAAAAAAGACAGGAAAATATATATTTTTTCAAAACAAGATACTGATAATTTAAAAACAGAAAAAGAAGAAAAACATGAAAATGGAAATAAGCAATAAAAAGAAAAGAGAAGTTTGGAAAAGAAAATTACAAGATATTAACATGTAATTCATTTGAACATATGGACGTTATGCGATCCATGTCGGACCGTTGGGAATGTTGGGACAGAACGTGATTCCATGAGACACTAATATAAAAAAGAATATTTAAATGATAATTTCGAAAACAAACAGATAAATAAGATAAGAGTTTTTGTTGCGGTAATATCCTCATTGGATTTCATATTTGGAATATTTCAATCCACGGTGGCGAAGGGAGAAGGGTGAGTCAGCAAATCTACGCAAGAGATTATACTGTCGGCGACTCCTCCTACATTTTCTCAACCCTCGACGTGGCCCCTCCTCGTCTTCCCGCTCTCTTTGATCTCCTTCTATTTATCTATTTCATACTTTTGAAATGATTGGATGAAAAAAAAATCCGAGTTTTTGGATAACGGATTTGATGTTAGATCAATAAATTTAAAAGCTAAATCGTTCGGATAACTTTTACGTTTTTGAATATCCAATTTATGCTTAAATTTATTCACGTCCTATAACAAATCTCGGTCATGACCCGTGACTGTATATATATGTATTTTTTTTGGTAAAATAATAATTTAAATAAAATTTAAATATAAATTTATTGTTTTATTTTTATAAAATATTTTAGAAGAGTTATTATTTTGGTTGATAGAGTAAATATAAATAGTAAAATAGGTATATAAAATTTTAAATATTAAGATAAAGGTAAATGTTGAAGTGTTAAAACTATATATATATATTACCACAAGACCGAACCGTAAGCAAACACCTGACAGGTAGAGAACATTTACTTACAAATGACTACCACGTACGAGGCCTCCTCTTGTCGGTCGGAAATAGTAGAGAACATTTACTCACTACGCTGTGGCTCTCTGCCTCGACTACGTTACGTAAACGTGCGTGGGTTGGTTATATATATATATATATGAGATATTTGGAGGAAAGATCCTAGCAGAATAGAATGGTAGTTATAATGCTTATGGGCAATAAAAAAACTATATGGTAAAATGATTTTTAAAACAATAAGTCATCAATTTTTAATATCACGATAATATGTAGTTTGTCCGTCGATGGCATGTACACATGCCCTAATGGGAAAGAATACAAAAAAATACACTTAATATTAGCATATTATTTTGTGGGATAAGGGAGGAAAATATTATCCATCCAACTAGCTAATAATATTAATAACTTAAAATGGGTTGTGTGAGAAAACCAATTAAATAACAGAAATAAGAATAATACATTGGACCGGAGACAGAAAATATGCGTTGGAAGGATAATTAATAAAGTAATATATATAGTTTATTAATGTGAAATATGAAATCAGGTTTTCAACCATAAAACAAAATTATAATTATTTTTGATGGAATGTGAATGAATCACATGATTAGTCTTGTTATTATGGATGGAATTTAATGCAAATGAATCACACAACTAGTGCCTACATGCAAACGCACATACGTATAAGAAAACCCTAGACTCATCAATATACGTGTGCAAATAGATGCATCGAGATATATATACATGCACTTCATCATACATATATGTACGTACATACGCAAGAGAGGAACGTGTTACTCTCTGCATCCTCGAATCCATGATCAGCTTATATTCTCCAGCTGCTTATATTTCCGAGTTTGCGTCATAAACCGTAAACAAAAAATGAATTTCCGGATGAATAATTGATGCCCTCTTACCTCAGATCCAATATCTGCACGTGGAAGAATTGGATTATAAAGATTGACGCAATTCCTCAAAGTGAATTTTTAGTGGAATCGTTATAGCGACAGTGTTATGTTTGTATTTTCGTTAATAATATATGAGTGAGGTTTTCGTTGATGCGATCCTCTTTTCAGCAAAGATAAAGAACTCTTAGATTTCATCAGAGGATTTCACTAAAACATGAACAACATTTTTACGGTGCAGCCTCGCCGTCTCCGCCGCCGCTTCCGGTTGACGGAACCACCATCTCCGTAACGGAAGGTGGAGGACGTTTCCGTTTCTTTTTCTCGTACGGAATCCCACGTGCCTTAGCCTGTCCCTCCCTCACCTCCCTGAGATAAATCCTGACGGCGCGTGCAGCAAACGGGTTCGAATCTGGCCGTCCACCGTTCTCCTCGTAGGCCGCTCTTAGCCGTCCGATCAGCGCGTCGAGACTTCCCCACGCCTGCTTCAACGGACAGGCGCACGGCGAGGGCGGGTTCTGATGTCCGAAGTACGGACACGCCGTCACGTGGACTTTGGTCTTCCCGAACTGGTCGAGGTACTTTAGGAACTCGATCACGTGCGCTCCGCTGCACCACGAGAGCGTCAGCGGCGGCTTGTGGTTCTTCAAATACTGAAGGAACGTGCTCCAGTCACGCCGCTTCTGCGACTCGTAGCGGCTCGGCTGCTGTGATGACGACTCTGCGACTGAGGCTACGGCGGAGGAAGATGGACCCGGGTCGGGTCGGTTGAATCCGGAAGAAGCGGAATCCATGGAAGATGTTATGTTATTACTACTGACAATATAAAAAGCTAGGGTTTTTTTGTTTGGGAAATTGTATTCGCGTGGATTGATCGATCCGTTTCAAGATTTCGTCGGATCTGTTATTTCTCGTATTAGGGTTTTGAAAAAGGAAGAAAGAGAGAGAGAATGTGGATTTTTTTTTTCTCAGAAAAAGATTATGGTTTCGGTGAAAGAGAAAGAGGAGGAAGAAGGGAGAAAGAAATGGAGGGTGGGAAATTAGGAACGTAGAAATCACGTGGGCATGGGCCTACATAAAGTCCACTTGACACGTTTAACTATTTCACTTAAAGGGCGAGGAGTGGCCCCTACACTAGAATTGTTTTTATTAGTATTTTTATTGTACAGTTATTATTTTCCTAATTTCAGGCCAATCGCCGTTCGTATATTTTGATGTAATATGGTACTGCATTTGTCAGCTGTTTTCTTTTTTTATTTTATTTTTCGTTTATAAACAAAACACAAAAAAATCATAACGTTTGGGCGTTGAATTTAAGGGGATGTTTAAACTATATATCATTATATGCTTTTTAAAATAAATTTCGTTAAAAAGTATGCCCTTATATAAGTTTGTTCAACAGACTCCAATAACATTAGATGTCTTTTAATAAAAATTTGACAGAGTGCGTCTTTAAACTATATATATATATATATATATTATGGATAGAACGTCATGGGTGCATTTGCTCCCAATTTTAAATCAAAATAATAATAATTTTCTTTATAAATTATATGAAATTTTAATTAAAATCTTTCAATGCCCCCATAATGAGATTAAATTTGTTCTCCCAATTGTAGTTTATGTACCCGATTAAAAATTATTCTCTACCCGCCACCTATATATATATACACACACATGTATAGATCATACACATGCATGAACAGTAGTAGTGTACTTCTTACTTTCGAGATAAGACAGCCTTAGCGTTCTGAATCAGCACACGTACATGTCTAGTTAAAATGACCAGTGGACATTATACTGAGTCGAATTATTTTTTGTATTTGTCGCGAGCGTGGGATAAAGATGTTTCAATGAACCCGTTTCCCTCAAAAAGCACCGTTGGATTGGAGTGGCCACATTGAAATGACTGGCTAGCCATAGGTATTTAAAATTTCACAAACATAAGTTTCGTCATTCGGATTCGAGTATGTCTCCACCATCCAGATATGGAAACAACCACAGTTACAAACTGTATATACGCGTGGGTATATGCGTACATGCATATATATATATATATATATACATACACACATGTGAGAATGTGTTCGTGCATGTGAAAATGCAAGGTGGCAGAGGAGCATTTTGATGTTTGTTTGCTTTCTGGGAGGAAATTTATGAAGCTATACCTTTGACATGTTTTACAGAATCTCGGGGTTGCAGGTGAATAAAGGCAAAACCTCACTTTTTCTCGATGGGGATGATTTTGCGTTCACCACCTCAACAGCCTTGTCACTGGGTATTTCCGCTGCGACACTCCCGATCAAATACTTGGGCCTGCCTTTGTCTCCTTCACGATTCAGAGAACGTGATTGCATTGGTCTCCGAGACTCTATCAGGACTCGGCTATGCTCATGGATGGCCAAACATCTCTCCTTCGCTGGGCGCTTACAACTCCTGAAATCGGTGATTTACAGCATTATTAATTTTTGGGCGGCTGCGTTTATCATTCCCTCGACTTGTCTTAAGAATATAGAACGGATGTGTTCGGCTTTTCTCTGGTCGGGGGCACCGGACTCTGCGAAGGGCGCCAAGGTCTCCTGGACAGCGGTCTGTACTCCTAAAGCCAGCGGGGGTCTAGGCCTGAGAAGACTACTGGACTGGAACAAAACACTGTGTCTGAAGCTCATCTGGATCTTGTTCACGAAAGGGGGCTCTCTATGGGTCTCGTGGGTGCATCAAAACCTGATCCGTGGGAAGCATTTCTGGTCGCTCCGAGATCGTGGGAAGGGAAGTTGGGCATGGCACAAGCTGCTGAAGCTTCGGCAAACGGCCAGATCTCTTCTTCGTTGTCGAGTGGGCAACGGGGAAACATGTATGTTTTGGTATGACTCATGGCTTCCTCTTGGTTCCCTTATCTTGGTGACAGGTTCAATGGGCCCTAGATTGCTTGGCATTCCTCTGGCTTCGACGGTTGCAGAGGCGACCTCGTCCGATGGTTGGCTCCTCCACCCAGCGCGATCGGACGTTGCTGTATCTATTCACCAAGCCCTTATTGCTCACCCTCTTCCGAGAGATAGTAGCAGCCCTGATCGGTTCTATTGGTCGGGAATGCAACTGGACTCTCAACTACCGCCGTTTTCCACGAAGTCTACATGGTTGACACTTTACCCGGCGCCACCCCGTGTTCCGTGGAAGAATGTAGTCTGGTTTGCTCGTTCTGTCCCTAAACACTCCTTCATGACATGGCTTGTGGTTAAGAACAGGATCCCAACACGTGATAGGATGAATGCTTGGGGGATTAATACACCGACTTGTTGCGCATTATGTGGTGACGAGGATGAAACTGTTTCTCATCTTTTCTTTCGATGCTCCTACTCTGACCATATATGGCCGGGTGTTTTGAATCACTCGTCGTTCTCTACGTTGGGGCACCTTTGCTTGGAGAAAACTCTGTTGTGGTTGGACTCTTGTGCAGGTCCAAGGTCTGTCAAGTATATGATTTTACTTCTTTTCCAGGCCTCTATATACATGATATGGACGAAAAGGAACTCGAGAATCCACCGATCTGAGTCTCGGCCAGCAGAGGTGACTCGTAAGGACGTTATTCGGTTCACTCGACGGAAGCTTTCCTCGGTTCAGGCTGATTTATCACCTCCCGCTGCAGGGGATACTATCATGTCTTTTTGGTTCCGTAACTTCGATCCTTTATGATGTTTGGTTCCTGAACTTTTGGCTCATTAGGCTGATGTAACTTAAACTCTCTTCGTTGTATCTGGGCAGTTGTATTTAATAGAATTTACCGTTTACCAAAAAAAAAAACAAATTTATGAAGCTATCTCCCATCGTGGTGTAGGAGATGAATAAATACATATCAGTTATTAGCATTAATTACTCGGACAAAATATATTTAATTGATTCATATCATACCTTGCAATAACCCGGTTATATATTTTAAATGCTTTATAGCACCGATATTAATTAGTGCATATTTACAAACAAAAAGAGGTGGGTGGGGTTTCATATTGTTGGCGAGTGAAGGTTTCATTTTACTTTAAACCTCGTGTTCACGGGTTTGGCAACGTGTATTACGCAATTATGTAGGAAATGGTAGGTCAAAGAAATCAAGCAAAGCACGTTTAATTCTTGAAATTACACCATACTTTCAAGTTCCATGTGTATGTGGGTCCCACTTACGATTACAAGACATATATATATATGCGCGTGTGTGTATACATCCATATGCCCATGCATATATCCAAGCAGCATCCATGGACAATGTCTGCTTTCTATATATATATATATACGCTCATATGCCGGACTCTTATACATAAACTGATTTAACTAATTAGTCATGACAGTGTAATATCCGTTACTGTAATATTAGTGTATATCATATTTTCAAGCCTAACAGATTAATTAAAAGTGTAAGATCCAAATACCCCTTCTTTAAAAAATAAATATATAGATTATGCGGGAACCAATAATTCGATTTTAAAGTTATACATATACATATATATACATGTGTACGTAGGCGTATGTACATTGTGCGGAATAAATAAGAATAAAACCATATGTTATCCGATACCTATATTATCTTCTTCTTTTATTCACCATACTATATTATAAATCACTGTGATGATTAGGAGGCCACAAGAAGTCAAGGTTGTAGCCCCCACATATATAACATAAGAAAATAAAATTAATTATATATATATATATATATATATATATATATATATATATATATATATATATATATATGATATATGTCGACTATTCAGTCTCCGCGCTCTTGATGCTTATCCAATATGTGAAACGATTGTCTAGAATCATTCGTTTCAAAGCCAATCAGAACCGTTCAATAGAAAGCGTGAAGGGGTTCTTTGTTTTGTCTCCCTCCATTAATTTTGCTTGGAATGATCTTCCAAGAGCTTCTCAAAACACCGTTCGGGATCTGGATCTGATGTCATGGTTAAAGAGTAGAGGTCTCCAGCGAATCTATCATTTTATGGATGGTTTGTCTGTTCCACGTAATTTGTATAGATTATAATATGGAGTTAGAGAGTTTATCACTGCATTCGAAGTCGTTATGAAAAAAAGGCTTCTCAAAACAAATTAAGAAGATAATTGTGTTCGTATAAAATCATTTGGAGATTAACATATAACAATCATTGTTTAATTGTATATATATATATATATATATATATATATATATTCACGTATAGCTGATATATTTATATACTCAAATTATTGTAGGAGGGAAAAATATTCGTGAAAGATATAAGATGCTAGGAATTTCTGCACATGTACAGTCAACGTAGCCGACACGATGTAGCTTTCGGGGAGGGAGACCAACGGGTGTGGTTAATAGTCCGTGCATTGCATGATTTGCGTTGGAAAAACAGTGACCTGACCATTGTCTTTGCCACGTGTACTCATCTCGCTCGGCTACTTGTTTACTTCTTTCTTTATCTGGGTGCGTAAAACGACGATTTCAGGAATTAGAATGCATAATATAATAATAATAAAATTAATAAAACGATAATTGTTTAACAGCAAGTTTTACTATGATATGAAATCTGATTTGATATAAAAATTTCACGAATATAATTTTTAAAAAACTGTCACTCCAAATCTAAAAATATATAAATAAAACATATAAAAAGATTTAAAATATCTATCACTAGAAAATTGAGAATTATTTATTTTGTTTTTCGAAATTCATTCACATTTCCGTCTTCTTGCTTTAATTCAAGGAAACAAAGATAAAGAAAAAGGTTTTCAGCAAAAGAAAACAGAAAAACATGCGAAAAATTTGTAACATGTCAAAATGGTGCGAGAATGACCTAAATGTGGGCCGTGCGGATAAAGCAGTCAGATTCAACAAGGCCCAATTTGACCCAATAGGTTTGAGGTCCAGCGAAAATAATCAGATTAAACAAGGCCCAATTTGGGAATTCTTGAAGGAAAAAAAAAAACTAATTCTATTAATTAATAATTAAATTATTGAAAAATGTAAATTCACGACTGTGTATTTCTTTTGTATACATATAAAATGTGAAATGGACCAAATTAATTTGAAGAGATTATTCGCCGCCAAACGACGTCGCTTCTGGTCGTTCACCGAATCCCATTCATCTTCCCGCATTGGCGTCTGAATAAATCTTGGGATTTATTTAAGTGTTGCTGTTTCCATATCGCTCAGATCGTTTCCTTTCCCTCTTTTGGATTCCATTCTTCGCTCGATTACTCTCCTGGAAGGTACGTCGCCTTTGCTTCTCATGGTTGCCGAAGAATCTTTCCATATTAGGTTTTGGTATTTCACCTTTCGCTCCGATTCTGATCGGATTTGATTATGTTTTGCTCGAGTCTTGAATATTCTCGCTGAGTTGATTCTCTTGCTTGATTTTGATATTGGTTTCAATCTCCATGGGGCTTTGTCACGGTTTAGGCAGGTTCTTTGTTCACTTTATGCTTCACAAGCGAGCAGGTGAAGCATCTGTTGTAAAGGAGAACAGCGACAATATCAACAGTTCTTCGGCATCTTCATCGCCGCCGATCAAGAGACGCCGGATCGAAATCTCCGAATCCACGGCCAAGAAATCTCCGAATACAAGCTCCGACTCCAACAGCGGTAACGTCGAGCCGCGGCTCAACATGGCTTTCGGTAACTCGAACCGTCAGGAGATCGATGAGGATCTCCACAGCCGGCAGCTCGCGGTGTACGGCCGTGAGACCATGAGGCGGATTTTCGTTTCCAACGTTCTCGTCTCCGGGATGCAGGGTCTTGGTGCTGAGATAGGTGAAATTTTCTCATATTTTCTTGCTTCAAGAAGTTGTTTGTAGGAGCTTATTTCAGATGAGTCTTCCTGATTGAGGTTCGACTTTAGTCCAGTTTGGTTTTGTTTGACGTGGCATTCAGCTCTGCTGTCGCCTATAGTTTTTCAACTCTTTAGGTCAATTGTATAGAAATTTCAAGGCATACTCTCGAGTGGGTAATGCATGTTCCATTCTTTTTGTCTGTGCCATTTTGTTGTATTTTACGATATTTTTTCATTTTCGTTATTTCCTTTCTCATCACTCAATTGTTTTCCCTTTTTCAGCCAAGAATCTTATTCTTGCTGGTGTGAAGTCTGTGACCCTGCACGACGAAGGCGTTGTTGAACTATGGGACTTGTCTAGTAACTTTGTTTTTTCGGAAGATGATGTTGGTAAGAATAGGGCGGTTGCGTCTGTTCAGAAGTTGCAAGAACTAAACAATGCCGTGGTTGTCTCTACCTTGACGACGAGCTTAATCAAAGAGAACCTTTCTGATTTCCAGGTTTGTAGATTAATTTTTTGTTTTGTATCTTATGTAGTTGTTGTCAACAGTGCTTTCGTGGACGTGGTTTATCTCCTTTAATGAATAAACTGCTTAAGTATTGATATCTAGTGGTTTGATGATTAAAGTTTAAACCCTTTCACTGTATGGAACCAGTACACTGTTTTTTTTTTGGTATTGGTGCTCTAGTTTTGGCATCATTGTTTAGACTTTGAAAATTTATGCTCAAATATTTTGCCCCTAAATTTTTTAATTGGCTAGTATCACCTGTTGATTTATTCTTTTTTTTTTCGAGGCAGGCGGTTGTTTTTACTGATATCAGCTTTGAGAAAGCCATTGAATTTGATGATTACTGCCACAGTCATCAGCCTCCTATCGCCTTCATCAAGGCTGATGTTAGGGGGCTTTTTGGTTCTGTGTTCTGTGATTTTGGGCCCGAGTTTACAGTTCTTGATGTTGATGGAAAGGAACCCCACACAGGCATTGTTGCCTCCATCACCAATGAGAATCCCGCATTTGTTTCGTGTGTTGATGACGAGAGACTTGAATTTCAAGACGGGGATTTAGTTAATTTCTCTGAAGTTGAGGGAATGACAGAATTGAATGATGGGAAGCCTAGGAAGGTAAAAACTGCGAGGCCATATGCATTTATCCTTGACGAGGACACTACAGGCTATGGTACATACGTGAAGGGTGGTATTGTCACTCAGGTGAAACAGCCTAAGGCGCTGCACTTTAAGCCACTGAGAGAAGCCCTGAGAGATCCCGGAGAATTTCTTCTTAGTGATTTCTCAAAGTTTGACCGGCCTCCCCTCCTCCACTTAGCATTCCAGGCACTTGATAGATTTTTGTCTGAAACTGGCCGATTCCCTGTTGCTGGTTCAGAAGAGGATGCTCAAAAGTTGATTTCTATTACGGCTGACATCAATGATGAACTAGGTGATGCCAGGTTGGAAGATATTAACCCTAAACTCCTACGACACTTTACCTTCGGAGCCAAGGCTGTGCTGAATCCTATGGCTGCGATGTTTGGCGGCATTGTTGGTCAGGAGGTTGTTAAAGCTTGCTCTGGGAAGTTTCATCCTCTACATCAGGTAAATGCCTCTGCCGCTTATACGCTTGAGGACACATCTTGTGATACTCGATACTTTGATTTGAGGCTGTTTCCGACCTCATATTGAGTTACTTGCTTTTTTTTAGTTCTTCTACTTTGATTCCCTGGAGTCACTCCCTACTGGACCTCTGGATTCAAATGATTTTAAACCACGAAACAGCCGATATGATGCTCAAATATCTGTATTCGGTGCTAAGCTCCAACAGAAATTTGAGGATGCGAAAGTCTTCATAGTAGGGTCTGGTGCTCTCGGTTGCGAGTTCTTGAAAAATATGGCTCTGATGGGGGTTTCATGTGGAAGCCAAGGGAAACTAACAGTAACAGATGATGATGTGATCGAGAAGAGTAACCTCAGTCGCCAATTTCTTTTCCGCGACTGGAACATTGGTCAGGCTAAATCCATGGTGGCAGCATCAGCCGCTGCAGCAATAAATCCTCGACTCAATGTTGAGGCGCTGCAAAACCGAGTCGGCTACGAGACTGAGAATGTCTTCAACGATACCTTCTGGGAGAATCTAACTGTCGTGGTTAATGCCTTGGATAATGTCAATGCAAGGCTATATGTTGATTCGAGGTGTTTGTATTTCCAGAAGCCACTCCTTGAGTCCGGGACTCTGGGTGCAAAGTGCAACACACAGGTTGTCATCCCCCACCTAACCGAAAACTACGGTGCTTCGAGAGACCCGCCAGAGAAACAGGCTCCAATGTGTACGGTCCATTCCTTTCCTCATAACATTGACCACTGCTTGACGTGGGCACGTTCTGAGTTTGAGGGTCTGCTCGAAAAGACTCCCGCTGAAGTTAACGCTTATCTCTCAAACCCTGAGGAATACACGAACTCGATGAGGAGCGCTGGTGATGCTCAGGCCAGGGACACTCTGGAGCGCATCCTCGAGTGCCTTGAGATGGACAAGTGCGAAACCTTCCAAGACTGCATAGTCTGGGCTCGTCTCAGGTATTTTAAAGCGTCAATCTTGTCATTTCTCTTAATAACCCAACTGGTTCGCTGGGAAACTCATTGGGAAATTTATCCTAGGAGTATTCAGAATGCGGAACTTTTTTTTTCTTAGGATGAAAACTTAAGAGTTGAAAATTAGCTATTTGGATTCTTACAATTTTCTTTAAATGTGTTTTCTTTGTTAACTAGCTTTGAGGATTACTTTGTAAACCGAGTCAAGCAATTGCTTTACACGTTCCCGAAAGACGCGGCCACGAGTACTGGGGCTCCGTTCTGGTCCGCCCCTAAGAGATTCCCACAACCTCTTCAGTTCTCCTCATCTGACCCAAGCCATCTTAACTTTGTCATGGCGGCCGCAGTTTTACGCGCAGAGACATATGGGATCCCGGTTCCTGACTGGGTCAAGCGCCCAAAGGAATTAGCCGAAGCCGTCGACAAAGTGATAGTCCCCGACTTCCAGCCGAAGAAAGATGCAAAGATTGTGACAGATGAGAAGGCCACAACTCTGTCCACAGCTTCAGTGGACGATGCTGCTGTCATCGACGAATTCATCACGAAACTCGAGCAGTGCAGGCAGAGCTTGCCTCCGGACTTCAGGATGAAACCCATTCAGTTCGAAAAGGTAAAACAAACAAGAATTCACATTATCGGTTACAGATATTGTTAATCGTGTATGATTTTTTGTTTGTTTGTAGGATGACGATACCAACTACCACATGGATATGATAGCGGGGTTGGCCAACATGAGGGCGAGGAACTACAGCATTCCGGAGGTCGACAAGCTGAAAGCCAAGTTTATAGCCGGGAGAATCATACCGGCCATAGCGACCTCGACGGCAATGGCAACGGGCCTTGTCTGCCTCGAGCTTTACAAGGTAATGGACGGGGAACACAAGGTGGAGGACTACAGGAACACTTTCGCCAACCTGGCGCTGCCGCTCTTTGCGATGGCTGAGCCAGTGCCGCCGAAGGTGATGAACCACCGGGAAATGGCGTGGACTGTCTGGGACAGATGGGTGATGAAGGGGAACCCGACACTGAGGGAGGTGCTCGAGTGGTTGGAGGAGAAAGGCCTGAGTGCATACAGCATCTCGTGCGGAAGCTGCCTTCTGTTCAACAGCTTGTTCCCGAGGCATAAGGAGAGATTGGACAGGAAAGTTGTGGATCTTGCACGTGAGGTTGCCAAGGTTGAAATCCCGCCGTACCGCCGCCACGTGGACATCGTAGTTGCCTGCGATGATGAGGACGGGAACGATGTTGACATTCCTCTCGTCTCTATCTACTTCCGGTGAAAATGTTTTTTTTTGGCTTTTCTGATGGACTGATTATCCAAAAATAACGTTGGCCCTAGTGTTGATAATAGTAATAATAACAATAATAACTATCACGGTGTGTGTGTAGGTTTTAGGGGTATTTTGGTCTTTTCTGTCGCTATAAGAATTCAGTGTTTGAAACTTGATATTCCTCTCGGGCAAAGGCACTTGCGGGCATACGACAAAAGAAAGCTGGACAACCTTTTTATGGTGTTTTCTAACCTAAACTGCGGGTCCCTTTTTCACTGCATGGAGAATTATTATTAACAATTGAGATGTGGGGATAAAGAGTGAAGAAAAAGAAAAGATACATATCGTATTTTTGCGGGGAATGGAGAGTTGTATAAGAATTTGCAATCTCGTTCATATATATTTTCTATAAGCACCAAAAGAAGCTGTTTTTGTAGCTTGATTGAGGTTGTCTCTGTCTTTTGTTTCAGTCCATGAGTTTGTAGCGTTTCTCTTGCACTCCTGACACCCCCATCTGTATCTCTATGATCGTGTGAAGTGGCATCTGTTACACCCACAGAAACAAACAAACATCATTCTATCTTAGTATTCATCTCCAAATATGTCCCGACCATACTCGATTAACTATTCGAATCCTAAACACAAGAATTTCCAGGTTATCTGGATTCTTGCTCCCATTTCGGTTTGGATCTTGAATTGGTTGGGATGTATAAATCTACAAAATCTCAGTAAATGGTGTTGTTACCTCGATGTGGGTTATTTCTTTGAGGGGTCTATCCGCAAAATATGCATACAATGCTCTCAGGACGGCCTATGAATAATCGAAAGCGAGAAACAATAGTTATACAATGACGTTGGAATTACGTATTTATATTCATAGCCAAAAAGTTCATATTATGTATTTCGGTTTCTTCAAATAAGCTTTCAGTTTAGTACCTGGTGAGATATTACGACGACAGGAGCTCTTTGTCGTTCTAGCTCAATGATCACAGGTTCAAGCCTGCAACGTTAAAAGAACAACACTCTGATATTTAGTTAAAAGGCAGATGTTTTTCACGCAATTGTGTTCTACAATTGAACAAAGAAATACGGGCATTATACCTTTGAATTACATCAAGGTAAGATTCTCCACGAGGGTATCGGTATCTAAGCTTGTCCTTTTTCCGAGATCTGCAGTTTTGATGCATGAGAATATTCCAATTTCACAAATATGATCCCAAGCACGCTCCCATGTCCATGTTTAGTTTAATTTTTTTTTATGCTTTTAACAAGGTATGCTGAATCGGAAGTTTTCTGTTAATCAGAAACAATAGCTGTTAGTAATAAAATCCACTTACTCATACTCCTCAGGCATGTTCTTCTTGATCTCTTCATATGTCATTCCATCAAAAACTCCGGCGTTTATCTCATCAAGGGCACGCCATTGCACCTACAATGAACAACCAAGAGAAATAGCTTTCCAGATATCAAGAAATTATCACAAGATTTTGGAAGAGATGCCTACCTTGGGAAATCCGGCTATAGTACTCGCTGTCAAGATTGTTCTCTGCAATGTGCTGGTCCAAATCTGCAACAAATAAATGACTACTTAGATCCAATACCTATGTGGTGAAAAAGAAAAGATCCAATATATATGTGCAGAGAAAAATATAAACTTTTTGAGATAAATTGATTAATCATAACAACAAATATTTTTTCAGGGATCAGATATATAACTAGTATGGTGTATTAAAGCCAGAATCCATTGCCCAATTTTGTTTTTAGGTGTACATATCCTCAGACTAATTCTCCACGTTCAAGAGATATTGGATTCACTTTAGCGTACCCGATATCACTGCCAAATGCTGTAATTCTACATCAACCTAGTATCTATTTGGTTAGACCTGTGTTATCAACCTCTAAACATCCTACCCTGCAAAATGGATTTCATGAATACCTTCTACCACTTGGATTTGCAACAAATGATTTAAATCTAGTATTCGGGCAGGGTTTCTCGTTAGAAACTTCAATAGAGTTCCAGATGTATGTTGATGGATGCACGTTCAAGCAACAAGATTTCTTTTCACATAAATGCTCATACATCAACCATATCATGGACTTTTACAGTGTTGATACTTACCGAAGCAGCCTTTTCAGATTTCAGCCGCTTCTTGACAAAGTTAGCAAGTTTCTTGGAATAAATTTCTCCAGATCCACTGTTTTCACAAACAGCAAAAGGTTTTGATGACTATAATTCGCATTCAAAACAGAAGGGAAAAACAAAACACTAGAGCTATAACTGAAGATGTGGTCACCATAGAATCAATTGAATCAGAGCGACACTTTGCTTATCAAGAGTTCAAATTCTAGCATCAGTGGAAACAGAGAAACTACATACCTCAACACGCTGTCTCCTCCAATTCTGCCTCTAACATTATCCATACTTTCGCCATGCCTAGTGAGAAGTATTGGGCGTGGAGTGAGATGTGTATTCACCTGAAATAAAATTAGTAACATTTTACTTCTAAAAACCATGGCATGCAATGGTAATACCGTGTAGGGCTAAGAGCATTCAGGTATATATAAATAATATGCTGATTCTGGGTGTTGTTCATATGCTTAAGACGTGTAGATAAGTGTTGTAGCACTACAATACAAATAAAGTCGTTGCAAGTCCTGCATCACAAATTCGTACCAAGAAAAAAACAATTCTTCCAGGAAGGTAACCGCTAATATTATTCACCTGCAATCAATATGGAATAATGGTCATTAATGTGAAAACCATAATACACACTATTGATAAGTTATAGAAGGAACACCAATCTGGATTCTTTTATCTATGATGATAAACGGTTCTTGTATCTCTAAAACACCTGCAGCAACATGATTACTAGAAGAGACAGGTATCGACATACTTGTATTTGTCCACCATTTCCGCTGACCATATCAATCATTTTGATGTATGAACCTTCTTCTACAGGCTCATAAACCTGGTAAAGTAAGAATATATCCAACATGTGAATTTGATATGAAGGCTACAATGGAGCCAAGCTGGAGGAACTGTAGTTAACGAGCAAATAATTACGAAATATGTAAAAGACACAGGTTTGTATAACAACCCTTTCATAGTTTGCTAAACGAATTCTGAAGTCTCGGCACCCTGCTTCAAAATCTGGCCTGCAGAGAAGATATACTTCAGCTGACAGAAGAAAGAGGTGAATTCAGACAAGGAATTTAAATCACTGGGGGGTGACCATACTCTTCAGCGTAGTCAGGACTTTGCTGAATTTTGAGGCGAATGTTTCTTTCAATTATACGTTCATCATTGCATATTGTTTCCAGAAAAATTATCTACAGTCAAGAAATGCAACAAAATCAGATGCAATGTTAAATCCAATCTCCAATATATGGCCATGTTTCCAGGTAAGAACAACTCCGACATATGCAAGGAATCCAAAGATAATCTCCATGGCTATGTCACATGCACTTTCCACTAAGTGACATGTAAAACTTTGCACTTGCTTACAGGATTTTCCAGAGAATAAAGTATACTTATACTAGGAATCTCAGCAGCATATCAGCGCTAGAGTACAGTACCTTACACTTCCCTTCAGCCATTTCCATCAGCATATTTCGACGAACCCTAGTGCTATTAGTTGCATCAAAGATTCCAACCTACAATTCAAAGCTTTTACCATGCAGGACATGACAAAGCAGGAGATGAATTCTACCACCAGTGTACTTACCTGACCACCTTCCTGCATCCAGGCAATCATGTCCTCCATTGCAAGTGCTGCTACCTAGTGGCATGTCATACGTTAAAACTATGTGCAAAGAAGAAGACAGTGTCAACCTTTTCTGGCGGATCAAAATCTCTCCAATTATTTTCTGAATATAAAAAATTCATGTAGAGTCTACCATAAGTAGAACATCTAGACAACAAAGAAGATACAATATCAAAGTGGATAAGCTAAACCATTCTGTCTTTGTTTTACCTCATTGCGTGCCTCAACACCATCTGAATTATCAGCACGGAAGAAATCAGCACTCTGCAACAAGACCATTCATTATTATTTTCCATCACGAATCGTCCAAAAGAGAGAACAAAAGTTTACTAAACCCATTTTTGTCAACCAAGCTTTACCTGATTAGCTCCATGTTTAAGGCGTCGATACTGTACGGACACGAACAATGATTGAGTCAATCTTATCTTTGCAATCGTTGTATATTTAGAGTAAAAGATGATTACGATGAGGAATCCCCATAAAAAATAACAAACCTTTCCAACATTGAAGTGTTTGGTATCGTGTCCCAACCAGCGTAGATATCTTGTCAGCTTAGCTGCAGTAAAAGTCTTCCCTCGAGCTGGCAATCCCACCTAATATAAAACAGTTTGAAACAATTCGATGAATCAGAACATATAGTTTCTTTTCTCATTCTACTTTTAGTGGTTAGACAAACTACCCAGTTACAGCTTCACCCAAACCAGAACACACAAGTAGAAAGACAATACAGAAACTACGAACAAAGTCTGTGGGGGCAGAGTACACTACCAGGACGATCGCTAAATGTCTATCCTCCTTTGGTCCAAGCATTTGATCAGCTATAGCTCCTGCAGCAACAGCTCCTGCAGCAGCTGGCATTGAATTCTAACATTTAAGAAGATCAGACAGACAAAAAAATGGTCAGGCCCCAGTGTAAGTTTCAGATAATCCAATGTTGTGATAGAAACTAGCTCCATGCAAACCTTGGTTTCAACATTGGGTTTGAAGTCAGACACAAATGGGCTCGAGCTAGGAGACTTGATAAGCCTGGGGGAGCCAACCCCACGATCGAGAAAGAATGCCCTTTGACCATCTTCCTTGTGAAGAGGTGATTGTGTTCCCACCGACTTTGACTCAACTATTCCTGAAGCATACAACTTTGAAGGATCTGGAATACTGACCTCCATTTCCTATCGGTAAAATGCTATAACAGTCATTAATTAGGACATACAGACTACACAAACGCAGGTTCAGCATTTACTATGTGGCTAATATGGAAGTAGAACCTTTAAGGCAGGAGGTCGATCAATCATAACACCAGAATCTTTGGAAATATTTGATGTAAAGTTCAAGGCATTGCTCGTACGAAACCGACCAGAGGTTGTAAGGGACCGTGGAGTCTCTGCATTGTTAGCCGCATAAACATGGGCTGAGTTTGCAGAAGCTGCAGGAGCAGGAACCACGTAATGCTCGAGATCAAGCTCCAAAGTACCTGAAGGACCATTCTGCAAGAATCTCGAAGAAATTCTTTTTTTATATACATATAAGACTTCCAGATTGACATAGGAAGTTTCCAGTCAGACCAATTTGATGTGTCCAAAATCTTGTCTATGAAATGCAATCAGGTTAACAAAGTAAAGGGCAAGAAGGAACTACCTCAGCAGCTGTTGGAACAGCATTTATACTGATATCGGGAATGTCACGAACAGTGGATGGCTGAAGGTTCTCCCTATAAGCTCGCCAACTAGCAGCGAGATCAAATGGTGAAACTCTGTCGGCTTTGATGAACACCCTATACTCAAGAATCACATCCCCTTCCAGCCTAAACAGAGCTAACTTCGCGTCTCCTTGCAATGATCCCCCGGAAAGAAGCCTATTCGCACCCTCTTCCACTATGCATGGTGCATTACTGTACTTTGGCTTCAACAAGAACTTGAAATCCAAAGTCTCTAAAAATAACACAACAAAACAAATGCTTAGATGATGAAATTGGAAATGTTAACGAATAAATTAACCCACGACAAGCACTCTAGTTTCCGAGGACACCAACTCATAAGCATCCCAGTAATGGTGACAGTTATTTTCATATCATAACAGAACTAAAGGAAGGAACAAAGGCTTCAGGAGCGATGCGTTTCAGACAACAGATGCAATGCATGTACAAAAATGCTAATAGAAGCGGCACATCAAAATCGAGGAAAGAAATGATACCGAAAGGAAATCGGGAGAAAACAACGATACCGTGATTGGGAGGAACAACGAAGCTCAATTCCCACATCGTCGCCGATTCACGCTGCATCGGCAGCTGCGAAAAAGCGATAATCCCAACGTAGAAACGCGATCAGATTAAAGAAACGTCGACGGAAAAACGAAGAGGAAGAACATAGAGTCGGATGCTCACAGCTCTGGAAGAATCCCAGGAACCGACGAGAGGAACAGAGCCGTAAACATGAGGAGTAACCTCGCCTTCGACCTTGTAATTCTCCATCTTCAGTGAAACGTAGAGCTGACCGCCACCGCCATTGGAGCCCTCTTCCTCCTCCGCATTCTTCGATGCACCAGTCCCCATGGATTCACCTTCGCTTCTCCAACTGACTTCTTGTTTGTGTGCTTTGAAAGAAAAGTAGAGGGAGAGATATACGTAACAGAGATATAAATAAAGGGTCTTCTCAATGGATAAGAGATTTAAAGAGAAAGAGAAGGCACGAAGCCGCTGCGTAGCAATTTTCTTCTGTTTGGCGTTTTCCCGGGAAATTTTTGGTCCCTCGGGGTCGCAGTGAGTTTTGGGATAAGAAACAGACGGGTTTTGGTATACGATATACCGGGTCGGGCCGGGCCGGGTTTGAATACACGTTTGTTTGATAATTTGGGTCGGGTCTAATTTTATAGGCTTATTCAGCCAAGGCCCATCAATTTGACCGCGTACCTTCCGAGACGCGCGAAGCCCAAAAAAGTCGAACTCAAAACGAATTCGGCGATCAATCTTCTCGGATGCTTTCTCCGATTCTCATCGACAGACGAAGAAGAATCGGAAGAGAACG